TGTTCTTTTTGGTCATGTCACCGCATACCTCAATATCACACTGCCTCAATCCTCAAACATCAAACATTGTGCTCTCATTTTAAGCAAATCACACCAAGATATCATAGCTCAGTACCCAATGTGGTACTGTATCTTGAAAGCTGACTGGCAGCCTTGTGGCACCTGTAATCAGGATGATGTTGACTTTACATGACCTGAAAGTACTTCAGGATGGCTGCACTGAGGTCTTCAAGTCAATCGGGAATTTATACAATTTTCTTGGGCCCAAAACAGTAGGTTTTGTCCTCAGAATGAATATTCTGCGCATTTTTGACCCCATATCATGGATCATGTGACTGGCTAGACACAGTGGCCACTGTGCCTTTTTTGGTGCAACAGAGATATGTATACATACTCAGTGATCTGGAACTGATGTTACCTAGGAAAATACACATTCCAGGCAAGTTGTGGGAGGGCTATTGCACAAGAAGTATCACAAAAGCTCACATTGCACTAAATGGTGAGTGACCTTCCAAATCCAGTAACTCTCCATAAAGTGGATGTCTGGTGTTTCATAACTTGTAGATAAATTCATAGAGTACAATGGCATGTTATGAGGCCTGTGATGTTTACAACATGTTACCATATATGGAAGGTAAGCAATAATACCATGTACAAGCATGAAATTAGCTGTCCTTGCCCATTCTGAGCTCTGTTGTGGCACCACAAAGCATTTTCATGATGTCTGACACACATGGCTATACTGTATGGGTCATGTGCTCCATATCTAGGGTGAAAAAGAGCAGTTTGAATTCTGCAAAGTCACCTGTGTTTTCTTGTATATTGCATTTTCTGGCCTAACTGGCCACTACTGGGGCCCAACAAAATTACTGTAGACTCTATGAAACAAGGGCTACAAGTTGACTATATGATTGCCATGTCTATTTATGGGTGCTTACTGTTGCAAAAAGCAATTGATTATATTGGAGTGCAGTGCTGCTGGTGAGGTCACATGCCATGTTCACCACTTTCCATATTGGGCTCCAAGCTAGATGTTACAGGAGCCCCAAGTCCATGGGGAATTGTCAGCCACAGCATTTGTTTGGGTGTGTTGGTGCAAGTTGTGTCGTCTGGGAGTCTGAAATTTGAAACTCAGCTAATGATGGCATAGTAAGTGTTACTTATCTTTGGTTATCTGTGCTCAAACAGTCACATGCACTGTGGGAAAAACCTGCCAGATTCGGCTCCATGCTAAGTGTTACAGTCATAAGAATGATTCCTTCATACCTCAGGGATTGTAACAATTGTCAATATTCCCCAGTAACATATATGATGACATAGGGTCTGTACATAGTATGCCTTCCAATAGACAGAAATGATAGTGATGCCATTGATAAAGCAAAAGAAAATACACATGCCTCTGTACTCACTCATTCTTTTACATTGTTTGTGTCTCCTGTGATGCTTATCAATTACCTATGAATTGTTTGGCTATATGACATCTGAATCCTGCTAGATGTAGTAGCTCACCTCCTAAGCATGGAAATTTTGCATTACCTGTTGAGTTGGGGCTCAGAAAAAAAACAACGGAATATTATATATGTTTCTACTCACCTTGTACAGATGGGGCAATTAGACATGCAGACTTACCATACATAGTATATCCCAGCCATTCATGGTGCTGCAGTGCTGGATAAATGGCAGAAAATAAGATGACATCAACTCTATTGTACCAATATAAGCATGACTTTGCCTCATCTTGTCAGTATGATGGTGTTATGCTTGGTTTTCAATCCCTTAATCCCTCATATGATAATCACCTGGCACATATCTAACCTCTACCATCATATTACCAGCTGATGTATTACCAGGTCCTACTTTTATGCAATGACCCTTGATGTGTGTAGTGCATAGTGTGGGTGTACCCATGGGTATCTGAGGGCATACCCATACCCATACCCACATGGGTTGCATACCCATGGCATGGGTATGGGTTTTGCATGGGTATCATGGGTACCCTTGGGTATGGGTACCATCATGGGTAGATCTATGTGCAGTTCATGGTACTCATCATTTTGCATGATGGGTAACATGATTGGCAAGATATGGGGTGTGTTTATTTATCAGTATCATACTGGCCAAGTGAGCTCAAACCAGACTCACAACTGGTCTGCCAATTGGAGGAATGACCCCACAGAGCAGCCAGGGAGATGGATGTGACTAGGGGCTGTTCTCTTTGAACAGTGTCCTGGACAACCTGCAATCCAATGACAGGGCAGCAAAGCAGGATGGTGCATATCTACTGCTACCACTTTGAGAACAACCCCACTGACTGCATGGTCAATCACAGCATTGAAGTTGGAGTTTTCAGTTTTGCAATCCAGGACATACATCAATCAGATGGGAGGCATCTACATGAGGGCAGTAGGCTGTTATGCAAGCAACTTATATATGCAAGAACAATGGAGAGGATAGGTTAAATGGGTCAAAGCAAGGTAACAGGTCAATTAAATGGGTCAAAGCAAGGTAACATGACAAAATCATCCAAAATGTGACAAAGGATCAAAGAACCTGATAAACAGTGACTGTACCTTTATTTCCGGTACATATCACTACTTAGGTGGGGAGACCACAAGATTTGGGGGATAGCAAGGCTGTATATACAAATGCACATCACAACACAGAAGGGATATTGATGCCATGGGCAGAGCCTTTTTGAATTCACCACATCCCAATGGGTCACCCCAATGTAGCAGGATTACTGTGGGTCAACATTGAGCAGAAACTCAGGGTAGACAACCATTTAACTGAAACACAGGCTAGATGTGGCATTGTGCAATGAATATGAATAGTCTGCCACATAGACTAGCCTCAGAGAAGAGGAGCATATTAGGTTGATTTACTAATCATCATCACTGAATACTGCCTTATGTCACAGGTTTCTCACCAACATATGATAAATAGGGCCAGGGGATGAACATGACCAGCCCATGATGTGGACATTTTCATTGAGAGCTTAATGCATTGCTAGTTAGTAAGTGACACAACTGGGACCATGATTTCTTATAAACAGCATGATCATAGCCCTACTACATTGCTGAAATCCTGGATTTAGTAAATTAACTAACAATGCATCTATGCAAAATGTAAAACTGAAACTGCAGGTCTAGTGTTCATCTCAAAAGGCCCTTGACACAGTATCCGTATTGATTCTTCTTATGCTATCAGGAGTGGCCATGTCACAGATGCCTAGCAAAAGATCAAAGTAAACAGTATCACTGGCTGTCCAACATGAACAATTACATGGTAAGATTCAGTCTGGTCATATTTTGTATTTCAGCTCATAGATACATGGCACTGGAGTAGCTATCATTGTGAGTTAGAAAGATGAGGTCAGCATGATGGCACCCACACTGTAATGCACTTGTTGTCATCATTGTGACAACTTCAGCAGTCTGTGTATCTTTCATTGGAGCATAACTTAATGATAAATGTCAAACTTTGTCTTCTGGTTGCTGAAAGGGAACTTTACCATACTGTCATTGCAAAGAACTCTGGTGCAAGCTTCAGGATTACCATATAGGCTGTTAAACTGTGGGAGATACACAGCACAGACTACATGACTAGCAGTTACCATTCTCTACTGCTGGATTAGCACTGCAGTAGTCCATGGGTCACATGGGTTCATGGGTCAGATTTTGGCTACCCATACCCATACCCATGCATACCCATACCCATGACCCACATGGGTTATCCATACCCATGCAATGCACTAGAAATGTTACAATTTAGTAAGTAAGCTGCCATGTGTTGTGCATCTTGTATAAATTGCTATATTCATAGGACACTGTCTGTCATGGTGAAGAGCACAGACCTACACTAAGACTTACACATGGAATCATTATTGCCTTTGCTGGGCATTCCAGTAATGCCTACTCTCAATGGTAATGGTCTCTGTTCATAAGTCCCATGAACACAGAAGTGTTCTACCTTCAGACATCCTTGTGATATAATGTTCAGTCTCATTTGCTGGCTGAGACTTTCTTTTTTTGTCTACATGCACATAATATGTTACTATATTTAGATCAGCCACCATATTGCTGTCATAAAACCACACTCTCAATATATTGAGATTCTCTACTGTTTATTTGCCATGGCAGGTACCATTCAGGATTAAATGCCAAATCGGGTACTCCACCAGATATTACTACATGTGTAATAATACCTGCTTCTCAGACCCTTCATGATATATCCAATGCTGTTCACATGGCACACTTGTTCACTCTTGGGTCTATAGTGTTACTTTGCCAATTTCCATATATCATCAAAGAATCCAGCATGAATAGCTGACATTTTATGATGACATGTAAGGGGAAATGTTGCAGCCAGTGAGAGGAATCCAGACTCACTTATTATTGACTAGAGAAATAGAAAAGGACAGTCCTATATTTGCCTAGAAGTCCACTATAGCATGGCCTCTTGCTTGTTGCTTAGTAAGCAATGTAAGTCTGTGCTATTGCCAGAGCATCAATGGCTTTTTTGAGCCGAGTTAGTAGATAAATCACAGCATACACTGTAATATGAATGACAGTAGACATTGCACAAATAGACATCATCAATACATGGTACAATCATTCCCTGACCATCCAAGAGCTGCAATTTCATCACCACATATCTAGTGCATTGCATGGGTATGGATAACCCATGTGGGTCATGGGTATGGGTATGCATGGGTATGGGTATGGGTAGCCAAAATCTGACCCATGAACCCTATGGCGTACCGTTTGACGCTTTATTATCCCAGATCTAATCTTTGTAACACTCTAGATCTAATCTTTGTAACACTATATCTGTTACTTTCGTGCATCGTATATCTAACTGTCGACACTCGTATATCTAAAACTGTCGACACTCGTATATCTAAAACTTTCGTGGCTCGTATATCTAAAACTTTCGCATTGCCACCATATCTAACAAGTCTTTGGTGCCCACCATCGTACTTTAGTACTTATGATACTTGCTCACAACAATATATTGTTCTCGCGCGACACGCTCAACGCGACCGACGACGCGTTATGAGCGTTGTGCGTCACGAGCCCGCGTCGGCGGTGGGCGCTCCGAGTGCTGCTCTCGACCGCCGCCACCTCGTCCTGACCTCGTCTGTGACCGCGATTCGGGCAGCCACACCGACCGCCCGACTGCACTAGGGGCATGCGGCGACCCTGCGAGCAGACAAGACCTCCTCCTCCTTCCCCGCCTGGTCCCCAAGCTCCACGCGGGAGCCCTTCACTCGACTCTCGCATGAAAAGGGATATTGATTTATCACCAGATGCTGGCATGCTCATGTATGAATCCCTGTGGTTAGCACAAATGGATCATACATAAACTCCAGAGCTTACAGCAAGCCTTTATGTATAAAGGCACTGTAATGACTGCAGCGGGCGCCCCGGTCGCTACTACCCGAATGGGCAGCTGCCCTTTGGGGACAGCCCAGGTCATCCGGCGCTGGGATGAGCTCGCGGCGGCGGCCCCTACCCAAAATAGGTCCTATCGCGCGCTCTTCCGCTTTTGGTGCCGCCGCAGGCCTGGATCGGGCAAACACAATCGTGAGTTGTGATCTGCAAGATCTCACGTGTTCTAAGGCTAGGCATGGTGCCGTATATAGCGTGTATGTCGTGCTCCATGACATACGCACTGTGTCGCGCTCCGTGACATACATTTGAGACTCTGTTCTTTACAATGCCATTTATTGATTCAAGTCTTGCTGAAATTGGTGCGAAGGCCAAGCACCAGCCTTCCCAATTTGGTATGTTTGAGGACCCGACAATTTGCCACACGCTGACAAATGCTGCAGTCGTAGTGATCATATGTATTCGTACAAGTATTAATGATACACAGTAAGCTCAGATACCAACAATATCCCTTACGAGCAGCCCCACAAGCCCCGTGCACTTCGTCCCGCGCTTGCGCTCCTTTACGACCTGCTGGCGCACTCAGGAACCTGCAGTGGCCCGCAGCTGAGCGTTCCCGTGGCTTGCGCAAGGAGCGTGCATGGTGGCGAGGGGTGCAGCAGCAGCGGGCCCGTGAAGGAGTAGCAGAGATCGTGCGAACGACTCTGTGTGCATGACAATGAAGGGATGGATGTAGTGGATGGTGGGCGTGGGCGTGGGCGCGGGCGTGTCGCAGCTAGGATGTGGGGTACGCCTAATTCGCCTGTACAAGATTGACTCCATCAAGCCCGTGCGCCCACGCCGATGCAGGCCGTGTCTGACAAGCTCTACGCTGCGCTCGCCAAGCTCGGGCTTGCAGGCGTGGACGACGGCTCTCAGGCTCCCGGGGAACCGGGTGCAGCGCGCGCGCAGCCTCGCACGGAGGTCAACAGTGAACACGCTCATCTTTGCAATGAATCGGAATGTTAGCAGCGGTATTTGGGAAGAGGAAGAGGGGGCGTACGGGCAACAGTCGATGCCGTCAATGATCACGGTATGCGTGACACCGTCCATGTAGTCCGCGGGGCCTCTCCTGGTCGACACACTGTTGTTCGTACTCGGTGACGCACCGTTTGTGCTTGTCGACACGCCGCCGTTCGTACCCACTGACGCGGCCCCATTCATACTTGCTGACTCGCTGTTCGTGCTGGTCAACGCGCCGCTCGTCGTGCTGGTCGACGCACCACTATTCGTATTGGTCCGAGAGTCAGTCTGAGGTGGGTAGTAGATGGTAGAGCTACAGTTAGTAGCACTGAGCCGTGCGGGCGCCCGTAAACCGAACATTTGTCTCTATTTGTTGTCTCACCAAGTTGGGCAAGCCCGATGTGCTCGGCCTATTCCTGGCCAATCACAACGCGTTTAACGGTCCTACTTAGGCCTGCGACATATCTGCGACTCGCGTTCTGGCCGTTTCGCACTAGGTATGCATGTTCTGTATGCTGCAATAGGTATCAGATACATGATTAGTGGCATATATTGAACATATACAACACAGTAGAACACGCAAGCTATTCTCGTGTAGTACAACGGTAAGGTAAGGATGTCTACCTACAATTAGTGTACTGGTCACGTCTCTCATAACAGGTGTTGCGGCGCGTTATATACTGGACTCGTTGAAACACAGTCATTGTAACTGTAATTCATGTTCTTACTACCATTGCAAGGCTTCTTTACCAACGTGCCCTTACAGTTCCTGAGTCATTGAACGTTGAATGCGAACGCGATGGTTGTTAGATCAAGTAATACATGTGCATTCCGGACTGCTCTATTCTAATCCAGCACGGACCCTATCTACTAGCAAGACTCTGACTCCAACTGAGGCCCGTCGGCTGTGTCTGCGTGCAGTGACAGCAGGGCAATCACCATCCGCGCTCGCCATTGATGTGTATTGTGCATGTCCCGGCTCTGCCCACCGCCGTGATCAGCCGCTTTTCGCTCACGCGCCCGCCTTCCGTTCGTCGGCCGTGCTTGCGTGCTGGGCATTCGCCCTGCACGCTCGCGGTCGCCGTGCATATGGCGCTGGTCCGTGCTCTGTGCCCACCTACTTGCCCTCTCATCTGTTTGCTCGTCTACCTGCCGCTTCATCCGCCCGCTCGTCCACCCGCCGCTCGTCCACCTGCCGCGCGTCCGCCCGGCCTCTCGTCCGTCTGCCCTCCTGTTCTTCATTCGCTCGCGTGCCTGTTCGCCCTCCTGTGCCTGCATTTGTCAGCGGCATCTTTGTGCTGAGCATTCGCTTAGCGCGCTCGTGGTGAGCATGTGTTGCCATCTGTGCGTCTGCCCACTCTCCTACCCACCCGCGTGCTGAGCCCGTCGGCTCACCTGTCAATCACCCACTCATCTGTCCAGTCGCCCGTCCAGTCGCCCGTCCAGTTGCCCGTCCACCTGCCCGCTTACCTACTCACCCGCCTATCCTCGTGCCCGCTCCTGTACCGCGCCCGTCGGTTGCGATTGCACGCAGGACCCTAGCCCTGCGCCCTCGCAGTCGATGCGCGTGTTGTGCTGCACGTCGACGTGTCCTGTGCCCATGGTCAGCCCGCTCACTCGCGTGCGTATTCACTCACCTTCGCTTGACGCTAATCCATGCTGACACATCCGCCATCTGTCTTAGGACGCGGCTGCATTCCCGGTGTCGTCGTGCGCGCTGCGGTCCAACTGCGATGGTGATGGTAGAGGTCGCAAAGGCGGCGGGTACCGCTCGCTCGGCTCGTTGCGGGCTTCCGGACTTTACCGAAACTGATGCCACGAAGCGGGCGCAGGGAATCAGAGATCGTACGTGATCTCAGATGCCCTGACCCCAATGCGCGTCCATATGAGGAAGCGCCGCATCACGCGCCAGTGGTGCCGCCCCGCCGCGGACGAAGGGACCGGGCTGCCTCGGCGTGGCTGCTATATCGGGTAATGTCCGACAGTGCTTCGTTCATACATGACGGCGCCTCGCTCATACATGAGCGAGTGGCAGCTCATGTATGAGAACAGCTGCAGGTAAGTACTGGGATTTATGTATGACGACTTCGTGCTCACTACAAGGATTTTATACAAAGATATGCCTATATGGCCTGGATTTATCGTAGGGATAGTGACAAGCCCGTAAGGCTGCTTGTACCATCGTTGGCAATCACAAATGAGGGAGCATTAAAATGGAAGAAGTACAAGTAAAATTGGAGCTGAAGTATGGTTCAGTGTCTGGTGATTCAGCAGGAAAGCGAAACACTCAACAAGATTTGGAAATCAGGGAGAGGACTAGTGATAGAAGATGTCCCGATAGTCGTGCCTAATGCGCTCTGCGACAGACTGGATGATCTGCTCCTCCTTGTTCCACTTTGGGTTATACTTCATCGCCTGCACAACCTGACGATGGCACGAAAAGCACAATCAGTCAGTGATTGACTCGAGAAGGACCTGGTCTGAAATCGGGTTGTCGGGATGCACGAGCTTGGGCCCAAGTGCCTGATGCCATGTCGCCACCCATCTGGCACTGCATCGAGCCGCACTGGCCTCACAAACTATACCTTGAACATAGGTCGGAGGGTCCCAGGCGAGGTGCTTGCGGTGGCGATCAATGCGGCGCCAGAGCATGTTCACCTGATTTGAGATGTTGGCATCCTTGAATAAGTGGAAATGAGGTGTGTCCCACTCGACTGGCCCAAGCAGTAGGACAGCGCGCAGGCCAGGAACAAGCCACTCGTTGACGCGACCGAAAAGAACACAAAAGCCACACAAAAACCCAACCGTGAGGTCGAGCAGTGGTATGCGAGGCCTCTGAGTCTATGAGATGTACGGGGGACTGTACAGTGGTCTAGGTAAGAAGGAGGAGGACGGACAAGACTCCGAACGACGTGGGAGAGCTTCGAAGATGTCGAAGACTGTTCGAAGGCGAGGGCTAAGCCTCGAAGGTAGGAGGGAGGGTTTGACAGACGTGTCGAACGAACGGTGACAAGGAAGGCGAGCGACGGCAGGAGAAGAAGTGTAGAGCCTCTTGGGGCAACTACGAGCTGGCGAACGTACTGGCAAACTGACTGACTGACTGACTGGCTTCGAACGTACTGGCTGACTGGCGAACTTACTGACTTTCGAACGTACTGACTGGCTGATGAACCTCACCGGTGCGAGGTGAGATTGAGAGGGTAAGGGGGTCTCTGAGATTCGAAGGGAACAAGTCCCAGAGTATATACAGGAAAATACGGTCCGAAGACCAAGAGAGCCAAGTGAAATCCAAGAAATGATGAAGGGGAGTGATAAGGAAAACAGCCAATCGGAGAGTGTCACAACGCTCGACCCGGACCTACTAACACATGAGAGAATCCAACTCGGCCTTCCGCAGGTTCCGAATAACGGATGACCGTCCCCGAACAGCGAAGGTCATAACCGGAGCCGGTGACAGTCCTCAAAGATATGAGACAGCCGCAGGAGTTTGCCTGACTTACACAAACATGCCGCACCTCGACCCAACTTCCGAAGTGTATGCTGCCCGCTACTACTGTCTCCTAGAGGTCCTCAAGACCAAGGGACTTGTCGAGCCGCGATACAATGCCAACAGTCCCGGAGAGTGGCTGGCTTGGGCCCACGGAGTCCGTTGGATGATCGTACGTGCCTCCGAACTTTGACTGTCCTTCGAACCATCGAACCGACCTTCGAACAGCGCTTCTTGTTTGAGTCCCGTAGCCGGGCCATCCTGCTGGCGAACGATACGCTTCCTGCTCCTAGGTCGTTCCCCGAGATCGACGAGTTGATGCGTTACCTTGACGAGGTCTTTCACCGCGATGGCAACCAGGGAGATATCCTAGGTTTGCCCTACCCTACGATCGCCTGGTCCGAGACCTTGGTGCTGCTCGAACAAGTCAACCAGGCCGAGCGTCGTCCTCTCGCGAACCCGCAGTATCAGCGCGAGTTGTTGATCCTTTCCGACTTCCGCCAGCTGCCCGACAACCTCGAGTCCATGGGTCGAGCGATTCACAACATCGCAGTCGACCAGCGCCGCACGCACGGCACCCTCGTCGGATTGCTCGAGAGCCTGCTCGAGCGCGTCAACACTGACCGTGGCTTCGACGCCAGTCCGTCTGTTCGTAGGGGTAGGGGTGGTGGTCATGGGTGTGGAGGTCGAGGACATAGATACGAGAGTTGCCGAGGCCGTCACTAGTTAGTTTGACCTAGCCGTGTACTTGCCCGTAGTCCTACCAATGTAGTGACTCTTCTAAACCGTGTGACTTCGCCGCTAAGGGTTCCGAACATGGACGCTTGAGCTTCGAACATCGGGCGGTTCCCTCGAACGGACGGATAGCGCATCGACCATACGGACTTAGTGTACTGTCATATCGACCGTAAATCGTGTTTTCGGTGGGTAGGTGAGCTAAGGGCTCATCATCATCGACCCCGTACGAGAGGCAACATGCAACCTTTGCGATCGCACTCCAATTGTGGTTGCCAGTGAGAGGGAGGGCATCAAGCTTCTCCACCGCATAGCTCCACGCTCTCGTGATGTCCCACATCGTTGCCAATTTAAGGATCCCGACGAGCTCTGGCACGGAGGGGGTGAACAGGGTTGCCCGCTCTCCCAACTGACTGAGTCGCCCAAAGTTCAGCAGCATAATGAGAAGATCGCACTGCACGACTCACAGTACTGGACCGATCATCCACTCAAGAAGGGCTTCAAATGCAAACATGTCGACATGCGAGAGATACAGTGGGCTCGTCTCCGAGGTCCCTTCAGACCAGTTATCACCAGGAGGTATGTGATACATGTCATTGAAGACAGACGAAAGATTGGCGAACAGGCCGCGATAAAGCCGGTACAGGGTCGTACCAACCTACAATGGGTTATCAATGAATGCAGGACAGTATATGTAAGTATGCTCACACCAATCACCGTGTTTCCATCTTGTAACCAGTATTGCGACGATCATGTCATCGCCCGAACTGCACCACTGATGAGCCTGGCTCCCTAAGTCGCTCAATCGTAACCATCAACTCAACCCAGTCAGCAACAGCAGCACTCACATCGGGATTGGCAGGTATCATAGCATTAGACCCTGTGCCATGACCTGCTAGTGACGATCCTCCCAACCCCTCGCCGACCTGCTGAGTCGCTCCAGCCTGACGCCCACCATAGGGGATCAGCACTCCAGAACCCCATTGGGCATGCTCAAATGGTGTCTGCGAAGTCATGCAGAGTGCAGCAGCAGTGAGGACAGCAGACGAGAGCAGCAGGTGAGGGCAAAGAAGTGAGAGCAAGTAAGCGAGCCTCGCTGCGCGGAGCGAAGGCAGCAGCCGGGATTCCTGCCACACCACACGAGCCACACCCAGCCATTGACTCTGGCTACTGCAGCAGGGCTGATACTGCAGTAAACGACATAACCTACATACATAGTATACCTACCTAAGCTCACTACATCTATCGGCTTCGCACTCCCTGCCTACCCGTGCACCACTTGCACACCCTCTTCAAACTCGTACTCCCCGCCACTCGTACTCCCCCTTACTCGCATTCTCTCACCTCCTTACCTGCACCCCACTCGAAGGGAAGGCATGGGCTGTCCGTGCCCTTGCTGACCAGCCCGAAGCCAAAATCGACCCTCGAGCTCTCATTGTACTCCTGCACCGCAAAGCCAGCCGCGCTGAACCACCGGCTGGGATCCCGCACGTTCGCGTCCTTCCAGATGAGCGCGTCGAGCTGGCTGAGTGCAGGTGACGCGAGGGCGGTGTGGCTCTTGGGAACAACGTACACGTTGTCCTCCAGCAGTGCGGCGAGCGAAGGAGGCGCGGGCAGGCCGCTCCGCACGTAACGCCTGATGCTGCGGATGGGCGAGTGCATGCGGAGCGGTTCCTGGAGGGTGGCATTGAGAATAGGCAGCGACCTCATGTCCTCGTATGCCATCTCGCGGAAGCGGTTATTGTACGACGACTGACCGGGTTCAGTGTCAATGACTTCCAGTCTGAATTGCACCTCCACGATGCGTGAATTGTCGTCGAGTAGCCGCCAAGTCACATCGCGGAAGGCATGCCAGCTAGCCGGAGCAAGCAACCGCGATATCCATGTTCCTATGAGGTCCTCCTGGTCCGTTCTGAAGCGAACGATGATCAGCACATTATCATTCCACCTATGAAGTTATGCACACACGTACCCGATAACGTCCCACCACTCGACCACTCGAGGCAGACTCGCAATAGCGAGCAGTACCTGGGCATACCAGTGGTGTCCGCGCCAATCTGGGTGCTCGTCCCGCGCCTTACCGATGTTCTCTTGGTATTCCCGTGGGAGGGGAGACTGGGAGGGAGACGTGGAATGCGAACTTGCACTGGAGCGAGGCGTGCGGACGGGAATATGCATCGTGCAGGATAATCGTCGGTTCGCTAGGGTTTGCGCACTCCAATCCCGCGCACTCTCGCTTGCGCGGACTGACCACCTCGGGTGGAGGCGTCGGACTGGTGATGGAACCCAGCGCAGGACTGGAGGCGCCAGTACTTGGACGCGACATCGGTCACGGACCGACCCCGGGGAAGAGTCGAATGGCGCCGCAGAGAGGCGGGGTTGTGGAAGACGCGGACGCTGTGAGAAGCCCGGGCAACGGTGGCCCGAAGATCAGTGAGTGCTGCGTCGCAGGATCTTTATCGAGACACGCACGTTGTCGGCTGTGATGATCGCCTTCTGGTATGCCTGCTGGGGCCGGCACTAGGAGCGGAGGCGGCGAGGCGGAGAAGTCCTCCGAAGACATACCTGTGGTGGACGAGCCTTCGTGCTCGTTTCCTTTGCTTGACCTGTGCCCTTCCCTCTCCTCTCCTCTCCTCTCTCCTCCTTCGCCTCCCTTTGCGCTCCCGGCTCCGCGTTCTCGTGGTTCTGTGGATTGGCACTGGACTTCACGCGCCTCGTGCGAGCTTGGGGACCAGGCGAGGAAGGAGGAGCGGTCTTGTCCACGCGCAGGGTCGCCGCATGCCCCTAGTGCAGTCGGGCGGTCGGTGTGGCTGCCCAAATCGCGGTCAGACGAGGTCAGGACGAGGTGGTGGCGGTCGAGAGCAGCGCTCGGAGCGCACACCGCCGACGCGGGCTCGTGACGCACAACGCTCATCACGCGTCGTCGGTCGCGTTGAGCGTGTCGCGCGAGAACAATATATTGTTGTGAGCGAGTATCATAAGTACGATGGTGGGCACCAAAGACTTGTTAGATATGGTGGCAATGCGAAAGTTTTAGATATACGAGCCACGAAAGTTTTAGATATCGCGAGTCACGAAAGTTTTAGATATAGAGGGTTACAAAGATTAGATATAGGTTACAAAGATTAGATCTAGAGTGTTACAAAGATTAGATCTGGGATAATAAAGCGTCAAACGGTACACCATAGAACCCATGTGACCCATGGACTACTGCAGTGCTAATCCAGCAGTAGAGAATGGTAACTGCTAGTCATGTAGTCTGTGCTGTGTATCTCCCACAGTTTAACAGCCTATATGGTAATCCTGAAGCTTGCACCAGAGTTCTTTGCAATGACAGTATGGTAAAGTTCCCTTTCAGCAACCAGAAGACAAAGTTTGACATTTATCATTAAGTTATGCTCCAATGAAAGATACACAGACTGCTGAAGTTGTCACAATGATGACAACAAGTGCATTACAGTGTGGGTGCCATCATGCTGACCTCATCTTTCTAACTCACAATGATAGCTACTCCAGTGCCATGTATCTATGAGCTGAAATACAAAATATGACCAGACTGAATCTTACCATGTAATTGTTCATGTTGGACAGCCAGTGATACTGTTTACTTTGATCTTTTGCTAGGCATCTGTGACATGGCCACTCCTGATAGCATAAGAAGAATCAATACGGATACTGTGTCAAGGGCCTTTTGAGATGAACACTAGACCTGCAGTTTCAGTTTTACATTTTGCATAGATGCATTGTTAGTTAATTTACTAAATCCAGGATTTCAGCAATGTAGTAGGGCTATGATCATGCTGTTTATAAGAAATCATGGTCCCAGTTGTGTCACTTACTAACTAGCAATGCATTAAGCTCTCAATGAAAATGTCCACATCATGGGCTGGTCATGTTCATCCCCTGGCCCTATTTATCATATGTTGGTGAGAAACCTGTGACATAAGGCAGTATTCAGTGATGATGATTAGTAAATCAACCTAATATGCTCCTCTTCTCTGAGGCTAGTCTATGTGGCAGACTATTCATATTCATTGCACAATGCCACATCTAGCCTGTGTTTCAGTTAAATGGTTGTCTACCCTGAGTTTCTGCTCAATGTTGACCCACAGTAATCCTGCTACATTGGGGTGACCCATTGGGATGTGGTGAATTCAAAAAGGCTCTGCCCATGGCATCAATATCCCTTCTGTGTTGTGATGTGCATTTGTATATACAGCCTTGCTATCCCCCAAATCTTGTGGTCTCCCCACCTAAGTAGTGATATGTACCGGAAATAAAGGTACAGTCACTGTTTATCAGGTTCTTTGATCCTTTGTCACATTTTGGATGATTTTGTCATGTTACCTTGCTTTGACCCATTTAATTGACCTGTTACCTTGCTTTGACCCATTTAACCTATCCTCTCCATTGTTCTTGCATATATAAGTTGCTTGCATAACAGCCTACTGCCCTCATGTAGATGCCTCCCATCTGATTGATGTATGTCCTGGATTGCAAAACTGAAAACTCCAACTTCAATGCTGTGATTGACCATGCAGTCAGTGGGGTTGTTCTCAAAGTGGTAGCAGTAGATATGCACCATCCTGCTTTGCTGCCCTGTCATTGGATTGCAGGTTGTCCAGGACACTGTTCAAAGAGAACAGCCCCTAGTCACATCCATCTCCCTGGCTGCTCTGTGGGGTCATTCCTCCAATTGGCAGACCAGTTGTGAGTCTGGTTTGAGCTCACTTGGCCAGTATGATACTGATAAATAAACACACCCCATATCTTGCCAATCATGTTACCCATCATGCAAAATGATGAGTACCATGAACTGCACATAGATCTACCCATGATGGTACCCATACCCAAGGGTACCCATGATACCCATGCAAAACCCATACCCATGCCATGGGTATGCAACCCATGTGGGTATGGGTATGGGTATGCCCTCAGACACCCATGGGTACACCCACACTATGCACTAAACATTTCTCATGTATATAAACCAATGGGATTGTACTGCCAGACATGGCCCTCTCCCCAGCAAGTGGTAAAAGTGTAGGAGGGGTATTGGAATTTGGTGGTCACAATGTGACCAGAGGGGGAATGGAGATGAGTGAGGTTGTTAGCAAGGCGAGGAGCTCCTGCTAGGGTTGTTAGCAGGACAAGGAGCCGTGCTATGGGTTGTGGAAGCACTATAAAGTCCTAGACAGTCAGGAGGAACTGAGTCGAGGGGGAGTCCTAGCCTAGTGAGGAGCGAGTCGAGAAGTCCTAGGCGAGGTGAGGAGCACAAGCCGAGGGGAGTTCCTAGGCAAGCAACGAGCGAGCCAAGGATGTAGTGAACCTACTCGGACAGCATGGTGTAGTGTACTTGGACGAGATGGTGGTTCAGTGGTAAGATGAGATTACTTCCAAATATGGAAGTGAGATAGCTAGGTACATGAAGATAAGATATGATCTACACTATCAGTCCATAATCTAATCTAGAAGGCAGGCAAGGTATTGCCTACCCGTAACAAAGGGTGCATCTCTAGGGTATCACAGTATATATACTGCAGATCAAAATACAAAGTGACACAGGGTGATGCATGATGCCTGAGCAACCATCAGGCAGCATGACATGGGTGTTGTAACAATGGCCTCTTGGGTGGTGGGGCTGCTCAAACAGCACCACAGGTGGTAAAACTTTGGTTCATCACATATGGCAGGCTGAATGATGACCAGTGACAGTGTAGCATGTTTGGAGGTCCTGTGACACATGACCACCACTACCTGTGCAGTCCTTATGTTTTGTGTGATAGACCATCCCATAGCCAATGGCATAGAGCTTTGTGTTAAATTAAGTGCCATTATGGTTTCATATAGCTAGCCTTCTATCAAACTTAGCATTTAGGAGGACATATATTTCAGATGCATATTAGATTAGCCTGTGAGTGGTACTCTTAGGCAATATTAGGCACTGTGATAGGTTGTAAGCTGTTGTGTTCAAACCACCAAATCATCAGACAATGTGATTGGTATGTGATACCCTCCAGGAAAACACATTTTATGTGTGTTATTCTTTGACAAAACATCATGGGCCTTGTTCATGGTATTTGATTAATCTGGTAACATTTGGCACAGTGGCTAAGGCTTAGTTCCATGACACAGTGACACAACAATCATGGTGTATATTGCTTATGCTCACTTGCACATACATACCATGTCAATATGTCACAAACTACAACAAGAGTGAAGATCAGGCTCTACATTTTTTTAATACACATACCTCAATTATGAGTGAGATGGGCCATGATGTGACCTGGGCATCAGTGTTCAAATAGTGTGTGTTGTCACCACTGCCAGGGCTAATAATCCTGCAATGCACATCAGCCAAAAAGTGTGCAGGATTGCAGCTACTGTTCGAAGTACCTGTGCAGCTGGCCTGATGAACCTTGTGCTGTCTTGACACGAGGGAGGCCAAATATGGCTTGCAACATGTGAAAAGCAGCCTATGCACAGTTGTGAGGACATTGACATGATAAATAACAAATAACAAACCTCAATGAAAAGATGAGGATGCATGAGGCTTTCAAGTGTGATTAGTGTGTACAAGCATTGATAGTGCATAACACATACCCATACTTGGGAGAGGTAGCATCCAGCCACTGTTACAGAAACTCGTGAGACGGTGCAATGGAACATACAAGAAAACGAGCATACCTGTGAGCCATCTGTTTCGGTAGCAAAATCAGACTGAGACATGGAGCATGGATGTCCGACATACCTAATGCCTCAGCAACCGCTTTGTCGAAGGCAGCATCGGGCCGTCGCGAGCGTGCCAAATGTTCAGAAAACCGCGTACAGCGTTCGTCGCAGAGATAATAGTCGATCACTTGGCAGATAGCCCGGGCGAACGGCATAGCGGTCGGTACAAGCTCCGCGAATACTCCAGCAGCCAAGGCATCGCGTGAGCTACCTTGTGAAGCGGCCAATAGTGTCTGAATGAACGGTCGCTCGTGTTCGTTCTTGCCGATCGTCAACTGCAGAGCACTGTCGGCGAGGCCATTGAGCTGGAAGATGTGCCGATGATTCAACTGAGCTATAAACACATCCTCAATTGATGCACTCACCGAGTGCCCATTCGCGTCTGTTAGAAGCTCCTTCACGTGCTTGACAACCAGGCTTGTTGCACGCACCGCATCTTCATTCTCTTCGAACTCCCGCGATGCAGACGTCTCGTGGTAGACATAACTGGCCACATATGAGCGTCGACAACACAATCAAATCAACCTCACCTGGCGACACTGCGGAACATATCAACCACCTCTTGAGGGCGGTATATGCCACTCGGATTTTCTTCCGTCTTCAACGGCAGCCCAATCTGATCCGCCAGTCAGCGCGCTCAATCGTCGAGAGACAAGTCGCTTTACAATCTCATCGGCAATCCAAACCACCGGAAGGACGTTGATCACGTCCCTGACGACGTTCAGATATTTCGTCTTCGCCCCAACGTGCTCGATCGAGTGAGCCGCGATCAACTTCTCCGTAATTGTCCGTATGACCAGCGCATGCTTGGTGACCGCAGTGGTGTTCAACAATACCCGCTCAACCTGCATCAAGACAAATCAAGACCGAGTCGACACAAGCAAAGCAGAACCACAACTTACCGACGACACATCAGGCAAAACACTGCCCAAGAGGCTCTGCAACCGGCTCTCCATCTTCGCAGACCCATTCAGCCCGTTCCCGTTTCCACTCCCATTCCCCACCAGCCCCGCAGACCCCGGGCCGTGCAGTCCCCTAGCACGAGCAGGCCCAGCCGGCCTCGTCCACTTGTACTTCCCCACCGGCGAGTCCGGCAGGTCGCTCACGAACGCCTTCATCTTCTGCGGCACGATGAACGGGAAGAGCGCGTACGCCGACGCCGCCGGGTACCAATCCGGCAGCGTGCGGAACAGCATCTTGCCGATGATCCCGCCGATCGAGCCGTCCCGCTTTTCGTACATGCAGTCCTGGTACCCCCACGCCGTGAGGTTGAACGCTACATGGACACAAGCACACGCGCGTCAGTACCCGTCGACGGGACCAGACAGACGCGATTGCGGGACAACTCACGCGTAAAGTCCACGGTCAAGAACCGATCCCCGCGTGTCAAACACACCGCGTCCGCGAGAATCGCCCTCGAGATCGTGTATCCCGGGCAGAGCCCCGAGCCGGGCATCGGCACCTTCGCTTCCTCCGCCTGCAAGCCCACCTGCACCCACACCCGTCAGCACGCGCCCACAAGCTACAGCCGCAGTAGATTGCGCACGCACATGCAGCTCGAGATTATCGATGTGGTGGTACAAACTCTCAGCGGCCATCTAACGCACGCATGACGAAGCGGCATTAGCGGCTCAGCGGATCTCGATAGCGACGGTCACTCGGGACTCTGACTCACGTAGATCTTCGGGTCCGGGTTCCATTCCTTGAAGGACTCGTACGCTGTCCGTCCTCACCATTAGCGTCGAGCGTCGCGCATATACGATGAGTTCACTACGCGCAGCCCATGAACGACCTGAACTCGTTCAACTAGCCCAGAATCCCGTCAGTCATCGCACCGTGGCGAACAGACGAGTCTCACCGACATGTGCCCCAGCTCCGAGATTGCATGATCCCCAGGATCTCGATAACCCTTAGCACGTCCGGAATCCCGCGCGCCTTGAACGCGCTCGCCGGGGACTCCGTCGCGTCGAGCAGGATCTTCGCGAGGTCCGCTGCGATCCAATCGATTGTCATTCCCCTCCGAGCATCAAACGGAGAAACAAGGCTGCTCACCATCGGCAAACCGACCGTCAGGGCCACGCTTGAGGCTACGGAACGGTCAGCGGCGCACACCGTACCCGCAAGGCCGGAACCTACTCATCGAACGACCACTGCTTCACGTCCTTCGGGGCGCCCATCATCAGCTTCATCGCCGCCGTCTTGAACTCGTCCACCGTGACCTGCGCCCCCGCCGCCATGTTCAGTCAACCGTCGCAAGAACCACGAACAGTGCACGCACCTCGCGCCCGACTTCCCCTCGAACATCTTCTCGAACAGCGCCTCGATCCACGCCGAGTCTGCACCGAGCTCGTCGCGTGCCACCTATACATCAGGTTGAACTCCACCGCGACGGCGTTCCCCTCGCCCTGCGGCGCAAACTCGTGGTTCGCCTCCCGCATCGTCTACTCCGCCGTCAGCCCTCCTCCACTCCCAACTAAGACGGAACGCACCTCGAGGGGTCCAGCCGCCACCCCAGCCGTCCCGGTCAGGCCCAGATCGCGCCGACATAGTCGCCAAGGATGACCTGCATGAAGAACGCGGTGTTCACGAGGCGCGCGCGCTGGAAGAGCTCGTCGTCTTGTGTTGCGCGCGCCGCCGCGTCCAGCTTGGCTGGATCCACGAACGTCCCGCGCTCGTTGACCGCAAAGATCTGCGAGGCTACGAACTAGCGAGCACGCGTAGCAGGGAGGGGGAGGAAAGGCATCAGAGTGCGTAAGCGGGAGAAAGAGAGGAGCGTACGTTATGGTTCCGGCAGAAGAGCACGAGCAGCGCGCACGTCGAGGGCGGCATGAACATGAGCCGCCTATCCGCGAAGACGTCCTCCCACAAGCGGCCGTCCCGTCCTTGCCTGTCCACCCAACAACGTCAGCAAACGTGCTCCCTCGAACAAGCGCGGACACCTACGTCTGACGCCGTCGACCTCCGCCTGCGAGCTCCCGTACAGCGGGCTGAGGTCGAGGTAGCTGCTCGCAGCGTTGACCGTCCAGTCGCGCGGGTCCGTGTTGAAGATGCTGTGAATGATAATATTCGCGAACGCGAAGAACATGCCCGAGAGCCCACCTACACAGTCATCAATGATTTGTCCCCAGCCGTGCAGAAGTCTGACCAGGACCTACCCGGGTGCTCGACAAACTCATCCCGCTTCAACAGCGTGTCAAACACGAGCCCAGGGTCGGGCAGGTACTGCGGCGGGAGCGGGTTCGTCGACGGGACGCTGCGCGCGTACGGCATGCCCGCCATCCCGAGGGCGGGCGTGAGCACGTTGTAGTTCGCGCCGTCCGCGCTGCGGAACGCGTACTTCGCGGGACTGTTCACGCTCGCCGCGGTCGGCGGGGCGCTGGGGCTTTTCGGCAGCGCGAGGTAGCCGCTCGGAGGGTGCGGCAGGTCTTGTACACTGTATGCAGCGTGAGCGTCAAGCCCGACACGGGGATATGTGGGCACTTGCAGAGCTGGATGGCCGCGTGCTCGAGCTGCTTGGCGAACGCGGAGTCGTCCGGCGAGCGCGCTATGAGGGTGAGGAGTTTCTCGAGCTGGAGGTACGACCATCAGTTCATGACCCGTGCATTGCAGGACTGTAGAATGTAGCCCGAAACCCGCACAAGACATCCCGCCACACAGGAAACGCATGTTCGTGCAAGTCGTATCCTGCTTCTGGATAGCACTGACGGTCGCGACAGGCCTGGTCGCACAAAACGCGCACATCCTGAGTCCGTCGGGATCAGTGCTAGAGCAGGCCGTAGGAGCGGATCTGAGCGTCCAGGCTGACCGAGGCGGGTGCAGCCTCGTCTATGGCTGGCCAGGCCGTGAATGATCCATCACTGGAACCACATCCGTCGACCTACGCCTCTGTGCACGCTTTCAGGGCGATATGGGTGGAGCTGGGACTCTGAGAAATTAGAATGCACTTCGCCAAGATGCTCGCGCTCGAGCGCGATGATCGACAGTCGAAGTATACACGTCGCATGCATGCGCACGAGTCAAGCGTCGAAGCTGCGCTCTTTCCGTAGCCGCAGAGAAGGAATGTAGGCATACGCGAAACTGTGCTCCAGCGCACCCAAATAGATACTGAAGTATCTCACTCGCGCGCAGCCGCCCACGTCAGTGCAATAGCGGTACAGGTCACTGGCGTCAGCGGCGTCCAGGACATGGTTCAGTCCCCCGACGGCAGCGCTGCCTGCTCGGACGCGTCATGCGTCACCACCGCTCGCGCCGTCGCAGCAACACACCAGAGTGGGTCGGAATACAATCATATCTCCCACCGGACACCAAGTTGTGCTGCAACGGCGCGATCAAGAACGGTCCTTAATGATAGGTGACCATGCACGCATGCACGAGTCAGCTTCCATTGGGCCCGTAGACAGTGCGTACTGGTCAGAGATTATCACCGCAGGATGTTTAAAGGATCTCATCCTGAGAGGAATACCTCCAGTATCTCATAGCTTATCTCTCACGGTAGCGTGGCGCGCTCGGGCGGCGCAGCCACACGCGTCGCGCCCCGCGCTACTGTGAATCGAATGCACTGCTGTAACTCACCAGGAACTTGCGGTCGTCATGCCGGGGCCATTCAGGCTCCTGACCGCGTTGATGTATGCGGGCTATATGCGCGTGTCAGACGTGTAATGACGCGTGCAAACGCAGAAGACTCACGAGGTCGTCGGGCGTGAAGCCAGGCCCGCGGACGAGCCTCTGCTGGATGTCGGTGATCCCGCGGGAGAGGAGGGACGGCTGCGGGGTGGCACCGTGCTCGTCGAGGGGGGCCTCGCTGGCGGCGAAGGCGTCGACGGCGAACTTGACGTTGTCGAGAATTCTGCTCATGGTGGGTGTGGGTATTCAGCTGTGCGGGGGCGGTGGTGGAGGGCATGGCAGACGGCGACGGGTTCATATAGGGAGGCGGGGACATCTGGACGCGGCGGATCTATCTGGCAGTCGAAGAACTGTCAATGTCCGGAAAGGATGCATGGAAGGCCACTGCCACGCGACTGTAAGCACTGCAGATCCCTGCAGCCCCGTCGTCCGTGCGCGCGACGTCCAACAACGCGCTGCGTCCATCAGGCGCCCACTATGATCCCGCGCGGCCAGATCACATCTCGTTCATCGAGATCCAGATCAACCGCAGCCACCCGCCCACTCCAGCTTGTTGCAGTCTGTTGCGTAGCAACGCCTCCCCAGCCCGCTCTGCACGGCACCGGCCGCATCCGAAACGAACGTCTCTTCCTTCTCTCAAACACCGTGCACTGTCCACCGCAGATAAGTCTGGCCGCCGGTCAGTGACATCTCCTGACGGCCGCCTGGCACAGGGGCATCATATCATTTCCGTCGAGTTCATCCTGTGCCTCCGATACGTGCACAGAGTTCAATGGAACCCGACGATGCGCTTTCCGTGGAACGCTCATGCGAGGAACGTAGATAGGTACGGAATGGAATCTCGTATCGCGTGCACTTGCCCTCGAGGCGTATGATCACGGAGTACTGAATCGGGTCGAGATGAAGTCAAAGTACAAGACGCTTCCGCAAGAACAAGCCGCCGATGTTGACGTTCATTGAACATCGCCTTCCCCGCAAAAGCTAATTTGTACTGTTGCGCACAATCTCCGGGCTTCGTGATAATCACCAGGCACAGCTCCGTGCGAGCCTCGAGGCTCTGCGCCCTTGCCCATCTGTCGCGACGCAAACCACTCGCACTTCCCATCCATCCATCCACAAACCACGTCACGTCGAAACATCAAATGGAATGATATGAAGGTAAGTTCAAGTGTACGTACGTGATATTGCGCTCAAGCAACCGCGTCTCGCCAGTTCGTCCTCGTTGCCGCTCCGGTCTCGCAGGTCCACAACCAGCGACAATCTCGGAGGCTGGCTAACTGTGGTGTTCAGTGTATGCTCTCGAAGTTGACGGAACGACGGTATCATCCTGCACGAAGATTGAAATATCGACGAGTGATGATGCGCGCATCCTTCATGTCCTACTATACACTGTCTTAGCTGTCCAGGTATTGCGTACACGACACGCTGAGCGCATACACTGCCGGGCGTCCGACAGTGAGCCTTCAGATATTGCCGCGTCGCCCGTAGCTGTTCATCTGCGTTCAGGATACTGGCCTCGCTGTGTACATCCGTGACACGGGCGGCGTGGGACCCTATTGTTGAAAGCCGAGCAAAGTTGAATACCCTTGTGCCCTCGGGCACTCCCGTCCAGATAAGGCCACCGTGACCTATCACTCAAAAGCAATAAGTGCATTACCGAGTGCATACAAGTACAATGCATGTGCAGCACGACCGCGCGACCTGAGTAGTATTTAAGTGTTGTAGCGGGGCGTGCGCACCGACTAACTGTCCACACCCACCATCCCTCTACACAGCACCAGATCGCCCGTCCATATGTACCTGCCCTCACACGGGCACGCGAGAGTAGAGCCCACACGGGTATGCACATGCATACGAGCGAACGCGCTGCGCCCATACCCACGCCCACGTCTAGCAATTACAGATCCATCCCACCCATCCGACACAGCACCGCCGGGCCCGAGTGAACTCTCTTCCCGGCATGTCTCAGCGCGAGCCGGAGCGCGCTCACATGACGACGCAGCACGAGTTTTGCTGTGTGAGTTCACGAGACAGCGGACGGCGTCAGCACTCGCATCGAGGCAGCCAGACGCGCTCGCACCTTCTTTGCGGTCTTGTAGAACGCCTTGCTCTGCGCGGAGAGCGCGTTCGACGGTCGACGAGGTCGTTGATCTTCTCCCCCCGCTCGAGTACGCTTTCGATGTCTTGTGCTTGGTCCGAAAGCCCCGTCAGCGTCTTGCGTCTTTTGGGATTACCCTCCTCGGTGCACCAAAGGACGGAGTTAAGAGACGGGGTGCGGGGCGCGGGCGCTGGTGCGCCCTGCGTGGTGTTAAACCGCCGGTGCGGCAGAAGCATGTTTCAGAAACAACTCGACGCGACCAGCGGAATCCCCGCCATCTAGCAGCCCCCGCTCCCGCTCGTCCCACCCTAGCACACCCAGCTTAAACGCAGCGCACTTACCAGGATGATCTTCGTCTCATCGAGCTCCTGCTGCACTTCATGATCGCATCCGCCTGGCGGGGGTCCTGGTACTTCTGCAGGTACGTGTGATCTCGGGGAAAGAGATCGCGGTGGGCGTGCCGTATGAGGAGACGGGGACCTTGCCATGAAGTCGTCGAGGAGCTTGTGAGGAGGGAGAACGCAGGTCGGACAGGTACTCCTGGTCGGTGACGATCACACCTGCGCGCCGCACGTCCGCCATCAGCATTCATCGCGCTCGACGTCCCGATGCCGACAGACGCAATCGCACACTCACCCGCCAGCTGCTCAGCCCCGCCCCGGTTCCAGACATGCGCGGTGTACTGGTTCTCCTGCACGCTCTGCCGCTGGCCCTGCGGCGTGCGCTCCGCGATCGTCTTCGTGAAGAACTGCATGAACTCGCCGACGCTCGGGCGCTGGTAAAACGAGAATGACGAGAGGTCCGTTGCCGTGCTGAGCGTCGTGCTTGACTTGCCTGGAGGCACGAGGACCACAGAGAGCGCGTAGACCTTCATCGCGGGGATCGCTGTGTCGTTACGGCTGTGGTGGCAGGAGGCTGCTGCTAAACGGATGCGATGGGTATACGAGTCGAGTCGGTGGTCAGGAGGACGGCGACGGCGAGCGGTGCTGCTGCACGATGCGCGTCACGACGGCGCGCGCTGTGACAAGCGCCCATACACGTGTTTATTTAGTGTGCATCTCCGATCGACTCGCTAAGTACTTGTGTACACTGTACAGAACACACGAGCACTGTACCGATTATTTGACTAGCGATAGTCTCCCGTAGGCAGACCCCAAACACGACCTTGTTGAGTGGGGGAGGGCGGTCATGTATGGAATTAGCGAGCGTCATTCGAGTCGAGCGGGCAACCAGATGTAGCATATACCTAGGCACCTTAGTGTCTGCACTAGTGTGACCTGACATGATATGTTCAAGATTGCTGTGACGGTCAGTGCAAGTTCGATCAGAGGTAGACCATCTCGGTCAAGGTGTCCATCACCCAGAGAGCCGAGTTTCACGTTCGTTTGAGCACCATTGTCCATTACAAGGAACAACCAAAACATACCACACAGCACGCTACGAGAGCACGACGAGAGAGCACAGACAAAGCAATGTACAACGTTCGCACTGGATATGTATACCCGCGATCCCGATTCTACGCCCAAGTTGAAGTGGATCCGACTGCGACCTTGAAGACTCGGGCCATCCTAACCCACCGGCATGGCTTCCATGTCCATGACTGACTATCATTAGCTGCCCATACCCACTGCTATCCCCAAGAGTACACTCGCGCCCACCAGTCCCGCCGAGAGTAGATGCAGCGCCCTTTCCAGCCGCCTCTTCCACCGCGCTCGCACGTCAAAGCGCATGTGCCACCGCTCAAACTGGCTCCCCCCGCCCTCGACCGCGCCGAGTTCCACATCCCCCGGTGCAGCAGACTCCTGCGAGCGGGCGAGCGGGTTAGGATTTCGGGAGCACGCGAGCACCGCGATGTCAAAGAGCGCGGAAAAGCAAGGTGCGCCGTCAAGGAACGAAAGCGGGAGGAGGTTGAAGAGAAAGAGCGAGAGGTTGAGCGCGGAGAGGTAGGACAAGAGCGCCGTGAAGAAGCCAGGCAATGCGAACGGTAGGATGCGGAGGCGCGGTGCGTACGTCGTCACCTCGACTGCGCGGGGTGAACTGCGTTCCAGGTGAGGGCTAGGACTACGCACCTTCCTCGAGAATCTCGACGCGCGGGCCGTTCCACACGACGACCGTATCCGTCGCATGTGCATTCTGCGCGGCCCACGCCGGGAGGTGGACCGTCAGGCGGAGCAGCGCCTGATCGTCGCGCGGGCGCACGCAGACGTGGTCCGCCGCGCAGTCCACGGCAGACCCACAACGCGCATAAGCGGGCGCCTCCACGTCGTCGCCGAGGTAGGGCACGGGTCTAGGCAGCGCTCGAGTGCGAACGGCGGATACGCGACGAAGCACGCGGTCGCATTACGGGCGGTCATCGCCGGCGTACAGCAGGCGTCGGACTGGTCTACGGGGAGTCAGCGGGGGACGGCAGGGAGTCTCGGAGGCCTACCTACGAACCATCGTCGGTCCACGCACCACCCCAGCCATCCCTCCTCACTATCGTCCCCGGCGTCAGGCCGCGACAGAAGCGTCGTCCAGGCGTCACTATCGGCGGGAACGCCTGACAATAGGTCGTCGTCTATCTTCGTCACGATCGCGCCAACGGGCAGATACCCTTCCAGCGGCGATCCCTATGCGACGGCACCTGCTAAGCTGATTACGTGCGACTGGCGGGACTGTGCTCACCGGCTGAATGTGCGATACGACGCGCCCCCACGCGCCCACGTCCCGGTAGCCCATCACGCTCAACAGTGCGCGGTCCACGTGAGCGCGTGTAAGTCCGGAGAAGATGAGGTAGAGAACAACATTGTGGAACGCGCCCGAGGAGGCGACGCGCAACCGTGCGGGTGCGGTCAGTTCACAGAGGGCGCCGTGCGAGAGCGCGACGAAGGCGGACGGTATGACGACACTCATTGAGAGGCCTATTGTGAGCACGGGCACGTTCTCTCTGTCAACGCAAGTCAGTACGAGTAGGACCGCCGGCGCGGCGACGTACAGTGCAGCCGTGACGAAGTGCCCAAGCTCGTGGATGATTTGGCTGCTGACAAGGGCAAGGACGAGCAGCGGGATGTGGCTGAAAGGAACAGTCACTCCGGGGATCTAAAACGTCGTATTAGACTTCGTGTACTATACAAAGCGGAGTGGACCATGATATAGCGAAGACCAGACAGATAAAACAAATGCGGGGCAGAGCGCGACGGAATGACACTTACTATCGCGTAAATGGGTATATCGTAGTCAGTCGCCGGGGCGGCGACAGGACTTGCAACCTCGTCACGCTTCCAGAGCCGCGGTGTGTTCGCCGCGATACCAGCACCCGCACTCGCACCCGCCCACCGTCCAAGCAGGACGACCGCCAGCCTGACGACCGTCCAAAACAACACGCCCAACGCTCCGACCATACCAGCGGCAGCGAGTACCCCGCCGATCGTGTAAGCCGCAGTGACGCCCCGGCGCACGTTCTCCCTCCTACTCTTCGCGAACCACTTCGCGAGCGCGTCGGCGCGACATTGAGTTGCGTGGTACGGACGTTGAGGAGGAGCACACCCTCGGTGAGAAGAACAGGCGAGCGGTCGGACGGTGGCGGATAGTACGAGAGCGCGACGCGAGGAGTGCGCGGAAGGAGGAGGCAGAAGGCGAGGTGGAGGATGATCCAGAAAGCGGCGAAGACATAGACGGCAGAGAGAAAGACGGAGACGGGCGACATGACATCGTGTGCGGGCCCGACTGGGCCTTGTGGTATGGGGAAAGACTAGAAAGCTATGCGACCTCAGATGTAGTGAGGCATCGAGACGCGCGCGTGTGGACGAGGTTGGGACAAGGAGGCGATCGTTGCAAGCGCGCTGTAAGTACAAATCCCGTGACATACCACGCCACACACGCGTTAGATTGAGAAAGCTCAATGAGAAGAGACAATCATTAGTGAACTCGTAAATACGATATGCACGTAACATCGATTGCATGACTAGTTGGCCTTGATGGAATACTGTGAGAACAAGCGGAACGGCGTTCGACGAGCGCGAGTGTCCCGGGCGCGGACGATGCCCGAACTTGAAGGGCAATCGCGTGAGGTAGATACACAAATTTCCCCTCATTATATACCCTCCCCCTATCTCCTCTCGGCGAGGTACTGTCGCGGCCGAGCTTGCGAGCTCGTGCCTAACCTCATGTTCCAACAAATACTTGCCAAACAACGACACGAAATGGAATAGAGTCCTAGCACTGGCACCTGATTGATAACACAAACTAGCACAGTACCGTAAGACTATAAGTACCTCCTCTGAATCGAGAAGACCATCATTAATGTCTACAATACTAGCATGACTGAGAGTAGGCACCCCAGTGCATCTCCTAATAGAAGCTTTATACCCGGGCGGATGCTTACTCAGGTACTGGAGATCAGACAGTTCTGTAGTATAATCATGACCTGGTTCGGGCCTCGTCATCCTTCCAATCCTCAATCTTTGTATTCTCAAAGCGTGCGCTCTACAATTTGTTAGTTACATGGTAACCAGCATCCACCTTAAGGAGGACCGGACATTGACGTGTACCTAGCCAGTTTACTACTAGTAAGCTTCAAGTAGTCCGGCCAGGCATAAAATCACGGCCCGATGGCAGCAACATTATCTTCATATAGCGGGAAATATTTAAATAGGAAGTGTCGACAACTTATACGCAACGGTGCAGTAAGTCACGTAACGACAGGCACGGGGTGGAACATGGCAGGCGGACATTCATCTAGCGCCCACAGTTCAGTAGCGATGTGATCTCGGCGTTCTCCGGGAGCTATACAGCTCAACTAGCAAGGTTCAGCCACCCGATCTCGCCCTGCAAGGGACACACTAATTCGAGAGGCACAAGCGCCGCCGCCGAGCAAGACATTCGCCCGCCATGGTACGTCCTCGCCGTCGTCGTGCTCGACGCTCTCGAAACCGCTGCTGATGGCGTCGGACAGCCCAAAGAAATCCGCGATATCAAGCAGTTCATCGACATCGCCCGGCGAAAGGACGCCTCAGGTGCGTTTGACCCTATAGTGCATTGGACCGGACAGTGCTGACCAGCGACGGGGTGTGCAGCGGCGCGCATCAAGAAGATCGCGCCCCGGGTAGCGGGCGGCAAGACACGCACAAAGTTCAAGATTCGCTGCACGCGTTACCTCTACACCCTCGCCCTCGACGACCCCGAGAAGGCGGAGAAGCTCAAGGCGAGCTTGCCTCCTGGTGCGCATCTTCTCCCTTGCTCTTACCTTACTCCTTTCCGTTTACACTGCTTGGATCTTCGACCTGGAACTGACTTTGCGTCTACAGGCCTGAACATTGTCGAGGTCGATGGCACACCAAAAAAGAAGTAGCCGCGCCGTCTCTTCTCTCCACTAGGTGTCCGTCCGGAGGGTGGTGGCCTGAAGATTGGTGTTGGGAGCGGGGAGACAGGCCTTCTCGGACGGGGCGCCCCTACGAGTCCGCTGCAGGTGCGCGGGCGACGACTACGACTGCTACTGCTATTGCTATACTGCCAGGCATCATCATATGGATTGTGTATGCTCCTCTACGACGCTTTTTCTATGCACATACGCAACCTCTCGTGCTCCTGCCTCCATGGCACCGCCCTTGGTACTCGACTGGTGGCGCCTTCCAGCTTCCCACTGACCCGAAGCCTCGAGATATCTGTCACGGCGACACTGACGAAATGCGAAACCGACCCTATGGAACTCGCTGCAGCCGCGGTCCACGCATTTCTCCCCTTTTGCGCAACGGGGCTGACATTCACACAACCGGTACAACTTCACAGACCGGACAGCAGGTATGTCTCAGTCCGTAGTAGGTCCCAAGTTGAGGAATCATTGGATCTACTTGTTATTGGCTTGATTGAGCATGGGCCCACCCTCTCGGCTAGCTCCGTTGAGAAGCCGCATAGAGACAGTCAACGGAGCGACCGTGGTGGGGGTACCGGTTCGGCCACCACAAGCACGCAAATTACCCATATGTCGAGCTGGCGCTATAGCAGACGTCACAACGGATAAGTGGATAGCCGCATCCTCCAGTCCATTATCGTGCAAACAGTTCGCAGACACCCCAAGGCAAGGGTTATCCTCGACATCGTGGTGCCAAACTAATTCTCGCAAGCATGGACAAATCATTGGGAGCACGAGGTGGTTGGGACGGGTTCGTGAAACAGAACCAGAACATGCCGCACTCTGCTGCACAGGGGATCCTCGACTGTCTAGTGTATGTATGAACTCCTGGACGCTCGTTGCTCTTAGACTCACCGATGCCTCGTGCCAACGTACAGGACGTCAGATGGTACACGATATGTTTCGAGAGACCTGTGATGAATACGACTGGGTAAACCCGGTACGGTTATCTTCCGTTCGGTGCAGGCCTTGCGTTCGGTGCAGGCCTTGCACCGTAATCATGCCAGTCAACTATACATGTAGCCGAAACTCAGACATCTCATGTTCGATGCCAGGTCGACACACCCGGAGATTGGTTCCGCCACGCCGTAGTGACGAGGTCCGAACCCGGGCGATGATACGCAAGTTGTAAGTAGTTCCAACTCATAAACTGATATCCTATGTGAATAATGATTCACGGTGCGAGTTTACATGCTAGCGGGCTGCTGCAGGCATGGGAAGAACTGTAACACTCACCGTCCTAGTGTAACTGACGGTTTTATCTCGAATCTTCCCTGCTGTAATAGTCAGAAGGAATGCGAGCAGTGCTGGCCTGAGGGAGTCACAAAGCGCTGAGCCCACAGGAGTATCTGTCATTGTCAAGGTCCTTCGGTGATTTGAAGCAGTACATACAATTTACTTGGCAGTGCGGCTTGGGCAGTCTTTTCGTTTCTCAAAAGATTGGGGTTTTCTCGCGCAGTGGTGTGTATGTACTAGTAGTGTAAGGTTATTAATTGAGTCTGAACTCTTGGTTGCGTGTGCCAGCCTCGCCCATTGCTGCCGCACCCATTCAAATCGGCGTCGCTCGCTATATCTAAGTTCAGGGGTGAGGCTCCTCAGATGGTATAGAAGGAGCTATGGGTGTATCTCGAAAAAGCTCTATGAACTTCATCCGATGAGCAGAAATCGCCAGTCGGTGAAGTACTTAAGCGCCCGGAGTCAGTGGCGAAACCTTGAAAAGGTTATTAGACTCGCCAGGGCTCGCCTCTTTCCTCCCTCGACCCCAGCTACTTACACCTCTTCTGCCTATCATCATGTACGCGGTTGGCCGCGCTTCTAGAGCTGTGATTAGATCCAGTGGGGCGCAGCGGGCAGTCCTCGTCGCAGGGCGACGTCAAGGTGCAGTACAGGCCGTGAAGCGCAAAGCACCCACCCTATCCAAGGCCATACACACTGGTGCTCAAACGGACAGGGTATGTGGCAGGGTAAGAGTGTTGTAGGATACGCATGCTGACAGTTCAATAGGATACTATCACACGCCTTCTCTACTCCATTGGTACCAAGCGCGAAGTCGAGCGATACTTGAGGATTTTCTCTTCTTCGTCGGATACCTCGAACCCCGCGAAATTCGCGGTCATCAAAATTGGTGGTGCAGTACTCGACCAGATTGACGAACTCGCCCTCAGCTTGAGCTTCCTCTACCGAGTGGGGCTGTACCCGGTAGTTCTGCATGGTGCGGGTCCCCAGCTCAACAGTATCATTGAGGCGGAAGGAGTAGTGCCGGACTACATCGACGGGATTCGGGTCACAGGTGCGTCTGCAGCTATGAGCCTTACGTCTCGCGACTCAAAGCATGGCTGCGTCCAGATGCTAAGACACTACAGATTGCACGGCGTGTCTTCCTGGAGGAGAACCTCAAGCTGGTTGGCGCGCTCGAGAAACTAGGTACTCGCGCACGTCCTATCACTTCCGGTGTGTTTTCGGCGGACTACCTCGACAAGGAGAAGTACGGCTTGGTGGGCAAAATCACCAAAGTCGACAAGCGTCCACTGGAGGCGGCCATTCGGGCTGGTGCACTTCCTATCCTGACAAGCTTGGCCGAGTCCGACGCGGGTCAAATTCTGAATGTCAACGCCGACATTGCTGCTGGTGAGCTCTCAAAGGAGCTCGAGCCCTTGAAGATCGTCTTCTTGAACGAGAAGGGTGGTTTGTTCCACGGCGTAACAGGAGAGAAGCTGGACGTGATCAACCTAGACGAGGTGCGTCGGTTGTCTATTATCCGAAGCGTTTCTGACTCCATCACGCATAGGAATATGACGAGCTCATGAGACAGCCATGGGTCAAATACGGCACGAAGCTCAAGCTCCGCGAGTTCAAGGAGTTGCTGGACCACCTGCCGCGCACGTCATCCGTGGCAGTCATCCGATCAGATATGCTGCAGAGGGAGCTTTTCACCGACAGCGGTGCCGGGACGCTCATCCGCCGTGGCTACAAACTGTTTAGGCACGGCTCCATCGAGTCTGTCGGCGCAGACCGTCTCCGTCAAGTTGTCCACGACCGTGACCCAGATATCCTCTCTGGCGACGACAGCGTCGCGGGTGTCCTGAACCGAATCAAGGAGACGCCATACACGATCTATGGTGACGAGCCGCTAGACGTCGTCGCGATCGTGTCGCACCCGTCCGGTGAGGTACCAGTGCTCACGAAGCTGCTCGCGTCTCGCAATGGCGTCATGAACGGCATCGTCGACAACGTCTTCAATGCGATCAAGAAGGACCACCGCAAGCTCTTCTGGACGGCCCGCGCCGACGACGAGAACCGCGCATGGCACTTCGAACGGGCGGATGGGAGTTTCACGCGCGCCGGAAAGAGTCTGTTCTGGTATGGCGTGCAGGACGTGAAGGAGATTGAGAGGATCGTGAAGGGATACGAGGAGAAGGGCAGGATCGGCCGTTCATACCTACCTGTTGGCCCTTCTGCTCCCCCGCACAGAGGTGTGCCTGGTGGCGCCCGGTCCTATTCCACCTTCGCTAGGAAGCCTGTTCCTGGCTCGTCGAGGGGGTACGCTACTGCTGCTGCCTCTGCCTCGACAGAGCCAAAGCGTCTGGCACTAATCGGCGCGCGGGGCTTTACTGGGCAAACACTGACCACCCTTCTGTCCTCTCATCCCCACCTCAACTTGACCCATGTCTCGTCCCGGCAACTCGCCGGATACTCTCTCGACGGCTACACGAAGGCACAGATCAAGTACTCCGACCTCTCTGCGGAGGACGTCGAACGGATGGAGAAGGACGGCGAAGTGGACGCGTGGGTCACGGCGCTCCCGAACGGCGTGTGCAAGCCCTTCGTGGACGCGATTGATCGCGGTTCGAAGGAGCGGAAAAGCGGGGAGCCCAGCGTGGTCGTGGATCTGAGCGCGGACTACCGGTTCGAGGATGGGTGGACGTACGGGCTTCCGGGTGAGAAGTCTCAGTCAACCTTGTAAGACATCGCTAGAATAATAATCTTCTTTCTCTGTCCTGTCTTGTCAGAGCTGTACGGGCGTGAGGCCATCCGCGGCTCGAAGCGTATCTCCAACCCTGGATGCTACGCAACGTCATCTCAGCTGCTTGTCGCGCCGCTGCTGAAGTACCTGAAGTACGATGCGTGGCCCACCGTCTTTGGTGTTTCGGGGTACAGCGGTGCCGGCACGGTCGCAGGCCCGCTTGCAGCGGACGGTCGGCCGACCACTGCACCGAAGGTCAGTCCGGAGAGCCTCGCGGGCGGCATCAAGCCGTACTCGCTCACAGACCACATCCACGAGCGCGAGGCGGGGCGCCACCTGTCGCGCCTGCTCGCATCCGGGACGAGCCCAATGAAGGTTGCGTTCGTCCCGAACGTCGCGCCGTGGTTCAGCGGCATCATGTCTGTGCTTTCGATGCCGCTGAAGGAAACGGTCACCGCGAAGGAGGTAAAGGAGCTGTACGAGGAGAAGTACAGTGGTGAGAAGCTGGTCACCATCAAAAGGGACGTGCCTGTCCTCCAGGATATCGAAAACAAGCATGGCTGGTCTGTCGGTGGGTTCCAGGTCCATAGCCAGGGTGATAGGGCTGTCGTTGTGGTGAGTACCGCGTATCATTTGCCCGTCTCACACGCTGACGGTGTTCGTAGGGCGGCCTGGATAACTTGCTCAAGGGGGCAGCGACGCAGTGTCTCCAGGTAAGTTGGGTTGTTGATCGCCGACAATCGCAGTGCTAACGGTCATGTAGAACCTCAACCTTGCTCTTGGATACGATGAATACGCAGGCATCCCCGTCTAAATACATCCCTAGACGTTGGATAGACTTAGAAAAGCTGCTCGGGGATGACTCTCCAAGAGATGAGTAGGAGCGCATGTGCGATTGAGCATAAGTACAAGACATACTATCAAATTATCCTATGCCCGGTCAATAACCAATATAGTGATCACTTATCTACAGTACAGCAGTTCAAGACATATGAGTGTGCTCCCAAGTAATAAGTGTGAATCCCATGAATGCATGCGAGTTTTGACTTCATAGCTGATCATACGGCTTCATCGCCTCTTCCAATGCGTCCGCATCGAAAGACTCGAACTCCGTGAAGCTCGAGTCCGCATCCCTCGCCTCGTCCATATCCTCATCCTCCGCAGAGTCCTTGGGACGCGGCGGTGTGTCATCGGGTGTGATGGGCGCCGCATCCCTAGGCAGGCTAGCTCGCGCGGTCATGACCATGGGGGCCTTTGTCACGGACCGCTGTATGGGAGGATGCTTGGACTGCACCGAGGGTGTCTTGAACCCCCTCTGCCGCGTGGGCAAGGTCGGCGAAGGCTGGTACTGCGAAGAGACCCCGCGCCTCATCGACGTCATCCCAAGAGGCGCCGCGAACCGCTGCATGGACTGGTTGGAGGGCTGAGCTGGCCGGGGCGGCCCTGGACGCGCAACGAAAGAAGGGGTGACTGTCGGTGGGGCTGCAGAGCTCTTGCGGTGCGTGGGCGGAGGGTCGTCTGCGGGAGGGGTGATGGGTGAGTGGCGGCGGTGCGAGGTGGATGGCTCTGCAGGAAGCGGCGTAGACGCGACGATCGCTAGGCCAGGAGGAGTGGCTTGAGACTGCCCAGCATCCTGCGTGCGGCGTGAATTCACAGGCTTGGTCGATGTGGTCGCGACCTGCGACGAGCTATTGCCACACTTGTTCGCGTAGAGGAACGAATCTGAGTCGATGTCCATCGCATCCGCACTGTCATCTCTCGTCCGAGATGCTGACTGCGCAGGGCGCGTGTTCCCGTCAAGTCTGCTGCCACGTGCGACCGTACCGTTCTGAGCAGGTAGAACGGTAGTCCGTCGTTTTCCTGTGCTCTTTCCAGAGTGGTGTGTCTTTTGCGGATGACCATCCGTTTGGCGTTTGGAGGCTGCACTCCGTCGTTCCGCTCTAGACAGCGCTTCGGTGGAAGCATTCGCCGCGAGGTCATTCAGTTCTTCAGTGGCTTGATCTAAAACAGGTGTCGACACGTTCTTTGGGCTCCCGGGTGGCGATCCACCATTGAGGCTCGGTGGGATCTTTCGTCGGTCACGGCGCGCACTCGAACGGGTCGCTCGCAAGCGCGGACGGGTGGGTGGTTTGAAGCCTGGGCATGGGTCGTAAAGTTCTAACTCCGAGTCTTGTATTGATTGCCGCGCACGTCTTCCTGCAATATAGGGTGAGTGAATTGCGAGACGGTCAAGTCAATGATACAAGGGTAAAATAAAATGCATTTCCGCAGATTTTCCAGGAGCTGATAAGGTTCGGGCAGACGCCTAACATCACCTAGGGTGCTGGAGTTCGACGAGACAGTAAGTACACGAGATGGGCCGGCAGGCCGGGGACATCTACACAGGAATTTAGGATAGATCGCGCCGCAAATCTCTGCGGGCAGGCATCCACTCGTACACTCGAGCAGGGTAGTCGAACGGCATTCGAGATCCGCAGTGTACGGTGTGCACCATTGATGGTCAAGGCGCACGCATTCCAGCGTTGTCCTGGACCACGCAGGGGGCGTATGTGGAGCGGAGTTTTGGCTAGCAAAATGGCCGACAGCTGGCGAATTCGCGCACCCGCCATGGCGCACCACCGTTGGCAACAACTTGGCGTCGATATGATCGCACTCACGATGAGCATCGTCCAAAGCCCGGCTCTACATAATCTCCAGCGCAGGCCGGCCTCATGTTTCTACATTGGCATGACATGCACTCCTCGGTGCGATGGGCTGAGTGCACGGGACAAAGAGATATGACTGCACCTGCCACTGCTTCCTCCTCCATCAAGGCCTTCACAACCTGTGGTTGACTCTGTTGCCACCCGACGTGATCACAGATGAATGGTTTGCCCACAGTGTTGAAGGAATAGACACGGCGAGAGATTGGGTCAATCTCCATTGCGTCGTCGTCCATAGCGGGAAGGTCGTTACAGTGTCGCGAAAAGCAGATCAAAAGGAGTAATAGAAATATGGAGTCCGCGAGCAGGAAAAGACCAACATGCGGGAACGACGGTCCCGCAGATGTTGTGTCGCGTCGAGAGTCGAGACAAAGATCGCTGCTGTGGCGTATCCTCAGTCGCGACGCGTCGAGGCGACGGTCACATGACCTCACATCGCATTTGATGATGGTACTTACATAGGTCATTTCACTTGTTGAGCAATGAGCGCGAAGTACGCGGTCTGATTCTGTATGCACGTAGAATGTCTGGTAGAGAGCGCAGAGCGACGAGGATGAGATCTCAGATCGCCACCAGTGGCCAGTGCCACACACGCGAGGAAGATGCACGTGATGAATGTCAGTGACTACCGGATTTGGATAACCAGGACGCGTCGCTCGTCGACGTTCGAGACGCGGTTGAACAGGGTTGAACTATTCCAGACCATCCCGGGCTTGCTGCTCGACTTCACGACCTCGCCGTGCACTAGCTCGCACGGCACTATGCCTGTTCCACGGCTCTCTCAGAGCGCAGAGGCTGCGCGAGCGGCTGCGCAACAAGCCGAATTCAACGAGAAGAAATGGGTGTGGGTCCCCGATGACAAGGACGGCTATCTTGCGGGATGGGTAGTGAAGGAGGAGGAGGACATGGGCGAGGTCGTAATTGCCTCTGGAGGAGAGGTGCGCGTACTAGTGTTGTTCTTAAGCAGCGATGTCTTGACGTTAGACCGAAGATACGAAGACTGCCATTATATGCCCTCTCGAAGATGAACCCGCCCAAGTTCGACCGCGTCGACGATATTGCGGACCTCACATTCCTCAACGAAGCGAGTGTGGTACATAATCTCCGCCTAAGGTATGGCTCTGGCGCAATTTATGTGAGTGTCTCTGTCACCTGCGTTCGAAGAGTGGTTGGGGCACTCGGTGAGGCTATTGAAGCACCCGCCGTTCTTGTTGAGGAGGGTGTGCTCCCCCGACATGGATGCGGACGGGTGACGAGGATTGGATGAAAGTGTCTGCACGCGGCGAAGCCTTGCCAGATTCACCGGTGGTGCCTCTCGTTCCTATGTTCTGGCTACGAAGGGCCCCTTTGTGGGGAGGCCTGATTCGCAACTGATAGACTTTGCGCGATTGTTCACATGACTCTACTGACCGGTTATACTATGTTCGTTGTCCTAGGGCGATTGGTGTATCCTGCGCGCGTTGAGTAGGATCATCTATCATTGCAGTCCCGGTTCATTGTTGTGAAATACTTTCCACGGGTTGATGATGCAAGCAAGCCGCTACGATTCGTCTGTGCCTATATGCTGCATGGATGGGGCATCCGCGCGGATCACAGCAGAGGTCTGTGAACCACGCACAAGGGCGGAATATATTGGTCAATGTGTGTGGCGCCCACGCTGAGTCTCATATTTGACCAAACGAGGCGCGTCACCCACTCGGAGTCGCACCGGAGACACCCTCTCTTCTGCAGTCCTTGCGGACTTCGGACTATCTGAATGAAAATTACCTGGCAATTCACATCGTTGGGTCCTCTGGTGAAGCGTCTGAGTGTACAAGGAAATGCTGACCTATGTGTATAGACATACTCTGGCTTATTCTTAGTGGCCATCAATCCCTACCAGCACCTTCCGCTCTACTCGGATGCTATCGTTCACCAATACCGCGGGAAGCGGCGAGACGAGAACCCGCCACACATCTTCGCCATTGCTGAGCGGGCATGGATCAACATGGGCGAAGAACGCGAGAATCAGAGTATCCTCATCACGTATGTAGCGTCATACCGAATATTCGGGCAGATGGTCACGTAACTTGCTTGTAGCGGCGAATCAGGCGCAGGTAAGACGGAGAGTACGAAGAAGGTCATCCAATACCTTGCTGCGATCGCGACCGACGCACATCCCCCGCCATCCCACTCACAGTCTCCGTCCCTCACACATTCCAACTCGTTCAACTCCATCATGCCGTCTTCCGGCCTGCCCCGTAGTAGCTCCTTCAAGAAGCACGGCAAGGGCCTCTCGTCGTCCGGATCGGGATTCACTTCGAAGGACCGCCTCGGCCTACTCGAGCGCCAGATTCTGCAAGCCAATCCCATTCTGGAGGCGTTTGGTAACGCACAGACGCAGAGAAATAACAACTCCAGTCGATTCGGCAAGTTCATCCGGATCAGCTTCTCACCAGATGGCAGCATTGCTGGTGCGAACATCGACTGGTACTTGCTCGAGAAGAGCAGAGTGGTAGTACGGAGTGAGGCAGAGCGGAGTTTCCACGTGTTCTACCAGCTGATGGAGGGCGGTGGTAGCCTGAAAGGTTCGCTCGCACGATACCTACTTGTACTGCGAATCTTACTTCTGGCTTCTAGATACGTTACTTCTGGATGGTGGCGTTGAGGACTACGAGTATCTCAACAAGAGCAGGCGAGAAGTCGACGGGATCGACGACAAGGAGGAGTGGGCGCTGCTTAAGGTACGAACAACCTGTCGGCACTGGACTGTGCTGACAGATTTTCCTCCAGAATGCGCTGGAAACCGTCGGTTTCACTGCTGCTGAGCAGCTGGATCTTTTCCGAATCGTCGCTGCTGTTCTCCACATCGGCAATATCACGCTCACCGAGACACGTTCGAACGACGCAGTCATGCCTGACCCATCGCAAGCGGAGCGTGTCTGCCATCTACTCGGGATCCCAGTTGCCGAATTCACGAGGGCCTTGCTCCGTCCCCGCGTCCTAGCAGGGCGTGAGTGGGTCACGCAAGCTCGGACGCAACAACAAGCACTGGACGAGCTCTCGGCCCTGTGCAAGACGCTTTACGAGAAATCGTTCGGCATGCTCGTTGACCGCATCAACCGTGCGCTTGACCGGCCGTCGTCTAAGTCGACGTTCATCGGCGTGCTCGATATCGCGGGTTTCGAGATCTTCGACGTGAACGGCTACGAGCAGCTGCTGATCAATTACACGAACGAGAAGCTGCAGCAGTTCTTCAACTACCACATGTTTACGCTCGAGCAAGAGGAGTACGCGCGTGAAGGCATCGAGTGGGACTACGTCAACTTCGGGCTCGACCTCCAGCCGACGATCGACCTGATCGAGACGAGCGGTACTGCCATCGGTATCTTGAGTCTCCTGGACGAGGAGTGTATCATGCCCAAGGCCACAGATCTGACGTTCACGAACAAGTTGCATGCGCTCTGGGCGAGTGAGCCGTTGCCTGGCGATGAGCCACATCCGGGAAGCTCGAAGTACGAGCCTGCGCGTTTCGAACAGGGCTTCATCGTCAATCACTACGCCGGCCGAGTGGAGTACAGGACAGATGGCTGGCTGGAGAAGAACAAGGACCCGCTCAACGACAACCTCACACGCGTACTTGCAGCGTCTTCGGAGCGCTACGTTGCGTCGCTCTTTGCCGAGTACAGCGAGGCGCCGTCCATCGTAGGCGCATTGACCATGGGCAAGAAGCGGGTCACGAAGAAGGGTGCCTTCAGGACTGTCGGCCAGAGACACAAAGAGCAACTTGCTGGCCTGATGGCTCAGTTGCAGGCCACGCAACCGCACTTCGTTCGTTGTATCGTCCCGAACACGCACAAGAAGCCTGGGCGAGTCGACGTGCCTCTCGTCCTCGACCAACTACGGTGTAATGGTGTCCTCGAAGGTATCCGCATCGCGCGTCTCGGGTATCCCAATCGTCTCCCTTTCGTCGAGTTCCGGCAACGCTACGAGGTGCTCACTCCTGGAGTAATTCCGCGTGGTTATATGGACGGTCGCAAGGCGTGCCTGCGTATGGTCGATGCGCTGGAGCTCGACAAAACCAACTTCCGTATCGGAACTTCGAAGATCTTCTTCAAAGCGGGAGTACTTGCCGAGCTCGAGGAGCGTCGCGATGCACTGTTGTTCGATATCTTCTCGAGGCTGCAAGCAGTAGCACGGAAGTGGACCGCTAGGCGGCAGATGAAGAAGATACTGAATCGCGCCGTTGCTGTCCGAACCATTCAGCGGAATGCTCGGGTCTACGGGGAACTGCGCGACTGGCCGTGGTGGCAGCTTTACACCAAAGTCAGTTTTCTCACTCGTTTGCTGAAGACGGTGTCTGACTTATTGCACAGGTCAGACCTCTTCTGGCTGCGACTCGTAATGACGATGAGTTGCGGAAGAAGGAGGCCGAGCTGGCTCTTGCTAAAGAGCGTGCTGAGCGCGACCAGCGCGAGAAGGAGGCCCTGGAGAGCCTCAAGATGCGCCTAGAGGCTGACAAGCGAAAGGTCGAGGATGACCTTGAAGCGGAGCGTGCTCTTGCGTTGGACAAAGATGCATTGTTGGATCGTAGCAAGAAACGAGAAGCCGAGCTCGAAGAGGAGGTGGCTGCGCTCCAAGCAGATCTTGACATCCTGGACTCCCAACTCGATCGAGCCCTGAAGCTCCAGAAGGAGAGTGAAGAGAAGCACGAAACACTCCGGCAAGCTTTCGACCAAGCAGCGGAGCACCTCGTTCGTCTAGAGAGCGAGCAACAAGACTGGGAGAGCCGAGAGGTTGAACTCAACGAGCAATTGGATTTCGCTCAGGAAGAGATTGACGCTATCAAAGCTGAGCGTGAAAATCTGGAAAAGCTCAGTGACGAGCTGAAGAACCTTGTTGCGCAAAGAGAAGAGGACTTGGCTCGCACGAAGGAGAGAATGGAGTCGACTCTGTCTGACTTGGGAACTAAACTGACTACGGAGTCGAGGAACAAGTGCGTTCAGATTCCCTCAGCTCACTGAGCCTTACCTCACGAAGGTTCTCAGGGATGCTCTTCGCGAGAAAGCCGACAGCCTCGAGGAAGAATCCAGACATGCCAAGCAACAGCTTTCGGAGCTGGCTCGGACTGCAACCGATTACTCTGCCATGATCAAAGCCAAGGAGGAAGAGGCAGACCGTCTCGCAGCTGAACTGGACAAGTCAAAGGTGGAGCGCGGGCGATTGATGAAACAGATCAGTGAACTGCAAGGCAAGGCGGATGCGCTGACCGCAGAACTCCTAGCACAGCGTAGTGATCGGGAACGCGACGCTGCTGTTCAAGCGAAACTCCAAGAGGAACTTGACGAACTACGGAGCGTGCTGGCAGCGAAGACTAGCGAGGAAACACGCCGCTCTGAAGTGGAGAAGAGCAAGGAACAGGAACTCGCTAACTTGCGCGCACAGACTAGCCAGCTGTCTCAAGACCTCGATGACGCGCGCAGATCCGCGGTGGAGGGGCAGACCAGACTTAAGGTCGACCTGGACACCCTGACTCGGGAACACGCTTCGCTCGAGAAAAGTCATAGATCGTTGTCCGAGCGGGAGCAGTCAGCTCGGAGTGAACTCAAGGTGGCTGAGACATCCCTCGGAGAGGCTGTCAAAGCTAGGCGTACACTCGAGTCCGACTTGCAAGCTATCCGGACCCGCCAAATTGACACAGACGGCCAGTTGGCTGAAGTGCTCAAGGAGAAGGAGGTACGTTACAATTTGCCTACTGTGTGCTGTGGTTCGGGGTTGACGGTGACGAACAACATGGTAGCACCTCGAGCGCCAGCTCACCACAATGCAAAGCAAGTTCGAGGATTCTGAGGACGTCGTACTCCAGCTCGAGCGGGAGAAGGGTGCTCATGATCGACAGATGGAGACCGTCAAGAAACAACTCAATGGCGAGTCGGCGAAACGCAGCCAGCTCGAAAAGTCAGCCTCTTCTCAGAAGCAAGAGATAGCGCGGCTGAAGGACATGAATATCAAACTCGATCGCGAGCTCAACAAGGCGCTGTCTGATCTGAAGGCCCGCGAGTGGGAAGTCAAGCAGCTAGAAGCACGCCAAGACAAGACCATTGTCGAGCATGTTCATGTCCTCGAAGAGGCGAAACGTGTCACCGATCGACAGTTGCAGGAAGCTCAGCAGGAGTTGCAGGCCAGGGAGGCTTATATTCGATCGCTCGAGAAAGCAAGAAGTAAGTTCATGATCGAAGCGGAGGATCTTGTTCGAGACAGGGAAAGCGAACAATTGCAACTTCGTGCCAAGGACAAGAAGATCAAGGCAGAAGAGGACAAGGCTATCCAGGCTCTCGCTGCGCTAGAGAAGGAGCGGCGCGCGAGGGAGGCAGCAGAACTCCACGTCAAGCGGTTACAGAACGATCTCGAGCTCTCGCAGAGTCAGGTCTCGGACGCCGCGCAGCAGCTGGCAAGCGTACAGAAGGCGAAAGACAATCTCGAGCTCGAGCTTACGAGACTTGCTGATGAAGGTGATACCCCCAACTCTACCGCGAAGCTGCAGCGCCAGTACGAGGCGCGCATTGCTCAGCTTGAAGACCAGCTGCAGGACTCGGAGATGTCAAAGACCACAGCGGCTAGGATCAAGGAACAGGTTGACCGTCAACATGCTGAAATACGTCGGCTGATCATGAGTAGTGGTCCGAAGGACGACTCGTTCCGATCCCGCTTGCTCAGAGAACTCGAGCTGGCAGACGAAGAGATGGAGCGAGAGATGTCCGTCCGACGCCATGCCACTGGGTCTGACGTCCGCTCACTCGCTAATTTGACGCCTTCCAAACGTTCTCTCGCCCAGACAAACGGCGTGCCCCGGTCTCGCAAAGACTCACATCCCGATGCGATCCGCGTGCAGGAGAATAGACAAGCTCAAGTCAACGCTCTCAAGCAGCAAGTCCAGATACTCGAAATTCAGATGGCTGCTTCTACACGAGTGAGGCAGTACCTTGAGCAATCGCTGCGGGAGATGACCGCTGAGTTCGAGAACTCGGATGGCTCGAAGCAGTCGCTGGAGCAATATCGCGCACGCCTTGCGAAAGAGAACGCTCGACTCGCCGAGTTGCTTGAGGACGAGGCTGAGGCAAGGCGGGCTGCCGAAGCTGCTCAGTTGAACGGTGTACAAGCAATGTGGGACAAATTCCAAGCTACTATCCAGAACGAAAGGGACAGCTACTCCCGTTTAGAGGAGTCGCGGAAAGCTTTGGTGCGCGAGACATCGCTGACAACTGTACTCTGTTTGACCGCACTCCAACAGGTCGTCCAACAACGTGCCGCTGCCGTCGAGCTTGAGGATCAGCGTCGACAAGTTCAAGAACTGCTGACGGCAAAGAAACAGATGCAGACTGAGATTGCAGACCTCAAAGATCGCTTGGAAGTGGAGATCGTCGCGAAGAACGGGGAGACCAGTGAGTGAGAATGTGCCGTTGGGAGGCACTTACTGACCGCTCCTTAGATGCCAGGCGGGAGCTGCAGTCACGTCTCCAAGAGCTGGAGATCACGTCTTCCACTTCCTCCACTGTCCACTCAGGTAAGCGTGTATTGGTTTGGATCTAGTCGTAGACTTGCTCATGTGCATGGCAGAGTTGCAAGAGGCCGTCGAGACTTACAAAGTCAAAGTCGAATCTTACATCAAGAAGCTCGAAGAAGCGGAGATTTCCAAGGCGAAGATTGCTCGTGCAGAATCGCACTGTACGTTTTGCGAGCTGCGCTGATTCATCCGATAGCTGATATCTGACTATAGCGCGTCGCGCATTGGCTGATGCGGAGAAGGCTCATGCAGATGCAATTGCTGAGAGGAACGCTGCTGAAGAGAGGCTCAAGACTGCAGGAGAGCGTATCAGGGAACTTGAGTCAAGGCTGGACGAAGAAGGCAGGGAATCCTCAGATCTGGAATTACTGCGGCAACGCCTCGCTGAGGAGATGGAGGATGAACGCAAGCATCATCAAGAAGAGCTTTCGGAGCGAGACTTCACGGCAGATCAGACGCGTAAGAAGTATCAGGGTGAGTGGTCTCGTCCACTCGCAATTGAACCAGTCCCACTAATTCATCTAATTTATCTACAGCGGAGCTTGCGCAGCTGAGCGAGGGTACGTCTGCCTTCCCCTAGACCTTGTCAATTTGCTGAATTTTTGCGGCACCCAGAACTGCAATCGCAACGCGACACCATGAGCAGGCTGCGCGAGGAGAGCAGGAAGATCCGGTCACACTACGACGAACTTCAATTGCGTCATGACGAAGAAGTATACAACGGTGGATCCTGGAAGAAGGACAAAGAACGTCTGGAGACCAAGATTCAGGATCTCACCAAGGCATACGATTCTTCGACCGCTGCGCAAGCAGAACAACAGTCGCAAATTGTCTCGCTGCACTCACAGGTCCGCGAGCTTCGCAGTGTGCTCAACGACGCAGAGGCGGACCGTGCCCTCCTCCAGAAGGCGCGGCGTGCGTTACAGGCGGAGCTAGAAGCGATCAAATTCGACTCCGTGGACACGACGAAGATGTCCTCCGAGACCGAACTACAGAAGCTCCGGCTGGAGAAGCAAGACTTGGAACGCTCGCTTGAGGAGCAGAACGATAGAGTGGCGATGGCTTTTGAGAGGATGAAGAAGGCTGAGGGCTACGCTACGGAATGCCAGGTCGAGCTGGGCAAGACACGCGTGGAGAACTCGGAGCTCGACAAGCTCAACGTAAGTATCGGTACAGCTATCTGTTTGTTCCTACTAACGAACTGGTGCGCTGCACAGGCGAATCTGGAGAAGCAGATCAAGGAGCTCAATCTCCGAATCGTCGACCTCGAGACGAAGTCGCTCAACGTACCAAGGCCATCGTCGACGTCGTCGCGCCGGCTCGAGAGCCGTATCGAGGAGCTGACGAATCAGCTCAACCAGACTTCCAAGGACAGCTCACGCCTCCACCGCTCTGCGGACAAGACCGCGCGCGACGCGCGCTTCCAGCTCGCGGAGGCGGAGCGACAGCGGCAACGCCTTGAAGAGGAAGTGAGGTCGTATGAGGGCAAGATTACGAGCATGAGGCAAGCAATGGACGAATTGGTGAGCGAGAGCTTTCTGACTTTCGTGTCGAAGTTGTGGTGTGCTAATGACTTACCGAGCAGCAAACCTCCGAGAACAGCCTGCAGCTGGCGAAGCGCCGCGCAGAACGCGAGAATGGAGACCTGCGTCAGCAATCACTGAAGTGAGACTGACTAATTGTGTTACTTTCTATGCATGCTGACCATTCATGCTCGAACTCGCAGCCTTGAGAGAGAAGTCGAACGGCTCAGGAGTCGTCTCGAGCGTCCCGCATCATCGGTGATGATGAGCTCACCGGTGAGCTCGCCCCGGAAATGAACACACGGACCTTACTGTATAGGCCATTTCTTATTTTCTGTTCTGTTCTGTGTGCGGATGAACATGTATGTCTTGCTATTGCTCGCTCCATTATTTTTTCAACCCTCCGATCCTGGTCCTGTATTATCATGGTGCTACCTCATGTTGTGATACCTCCCTCGCTGCCCACCGCCCACTGCCGTTTGCGTTACCCTCCTACCACTGTATCCCTCTGATTCCCCAACTACTTACTCAAGGGCTTACGACCGCTCCATGTCACGCATTACGCATATTATTATCGGCTTTGGCAATGAAACCACGTTCTCGTCCGGAGGGCAACGCATTGTTCAAATGTTCGGCCAAAACGTTGAAGACCATGAGGGTAACATTGACTCACGATTAACTTATTACAATCTTCGGCGCGATCACTGACATGATCAATGCGTTATATGTTTTATGATTATTCAGGTGTACTATGTGAGTAAGTAAGTGAGTAAGTAAGTAAGTAAGTAAGTAAGTAAGTAATAAGTAAGTCAATCAACGCGTTTTGTGAGTTGCCTATTACTGTAGCGGAGTGTATGCTGCCAACCGCCAGACCCAGCGTGACACTCGGACGGTCCCGACACTAGCAACTGGCCCCCGTTATGCGTGACAGATGTGTGATTAGCAACCAGCTTTAGTGTAGCAACCGTGACATCGCTGTGGCCAGTTATACACGTGATCCTGTAGCCACATTCAGCTAGTTCGGTTCAGGCTATGTTGACAAAATTCAAACGAGCTACTACTTGACTGCAACACAGAACGACGTAGAGATATGCCATCTACAAAACAACCTGCTCTGTCTAAAGAACTCATTGCTCGCATTAACCATCTTGCTTTGCTCCTTCGCCATCTCCCGACTTCACTGCCATCAAACCCGCCCGAATCATCGTACCACTTTGCCCTCGATCCAGACTTTGTGAAAGAAGAGGGCACTTATGCCGCCTTTTCACGAGCCCTTGAGCATGCATTCCAGACCCATAAACCTAGCCATGGTGGACAGATCCTGTTCACGGAGCAAGGTCGCCGATGCGAAGACTTGGTACAGCTCTCAAGACATCCATGCGCGATATGAGCGACCCCGACCGCGCAATGGTCAAGACTGCATGGCTCGAACGGTTGATAACTGGGGCGAAGGCTTCTGGAGCAAGGGTCCCTAGGAAAAGGTAAGTGTATATAACCCACGACACAGTCTTCGCCTCACTGTTTGATGTCTCTGTCAGGGGACCAATCATGTCGAGTTCCGACTCAGATGAGTCTGAGGCTGAAGGAGCTCAGGCTCGACTTCCCAGCTTCTTCCGGAAGCACCAACCAGTGCGCCGGCGGGAGCCTACAATCAACCTTGTCAGCAGTGAATCAGAGGACGAGAGTAGAGAGACGTCAGCCAATCGCAGGCCTACCTCCGACAAGCACCAACCTGTTCCGCACGCAGTACAAAAGCGTAAGCGAAGTGCTGATGCAGGATCCGGCAACGAGGCCACAAGCACGGCCCCACCGCAGCCTAACAAACAGGCTCGGCTCGGCATGTTTGGTTGGAAGCCAATGACGAGGGAGGAAGCTCACGAGAAATGGCGGACAGAAGCTGCCGCAACCAAGGAACGGAGCATGAAGCTCGCTCAGCAGGAGGAGGAGCAGCGCGAGCAGAAGGCTGCCCACAGACGTGAGATTGACCGTGTGCGTCAGCAACGGCATCGAGCGAAGAAGGCAGCTTTGAAGAAGACTCAACCCGGGCTAGCTAGTGCCAAGGAACGCATCAGGGTTAGAGCTAGCCCGAAGCGGGGTGAGCTGACGAACCTTGCGGAGATATCGCGGCCACATGGCTCGGTATGGAAGAAGAAGCGGAATGGGAAGAAGGTGGGTCATTCAGCAGCGACACGAAAGGACCAATTGGTTTCATCCCTTCCTATGGGCTCACATTGATCGCATTGCACCCCAGGTTCACTGGTCGGCGACGTTCATTGCACGGACGTTACAACGCGAGCATCCTGCATTGTTCTCGCGCTTGACGAAGGGGACTGTGCAACGCTGGCTATCAAAGCATGGGAACGATGGTCCACACGCACCCTTGAAAGTGTCAACAATCGCCGTGTCTTGTCCGCATCGGGTCGTGCTGGGGTCCTTACAAAATATCCCGTTATCGTCGACGAAGCAAAGGCGCGACTGCTTGCCCTGCGCGCATCAGGCATTCCAGTAAATCGCATACTCGGACGATCAATCCTACTCGCCTTGATCAAACGACATCAGCCGGAGCTGCTGGAAACATTCAAATGCTCTGAGCGTTTTGTTGGCGACTTCTTCAGCAGTATCTTGGGCTGGTCGGTGCGGAAAGGAACGCGTGCCGCAGCTTCACATCCCCGACAACGCGGACGAGCTATGCGAACGTACCTTCTTCCGGATCATACATGCTGTTGTCATGTACGACATCCCGCCATCGCTCATCATTGGCATGGACCAGACGGGAGTCATGGTCTTGCCAAACAACAATACGACCTACGAGGAGACGGGCGTACGACAGGTCAATGTTGTGGCGAAGGACGAGAAGCGAGCATACACACTTTGTGTCGCTACGAGTGCCGATGGTGATATCCTTCCCTTCCAGCAAGTGTGGAGCGGGCAGACTGTAAAGTCGCTCCCTGACGTGGATGCGGACGGAATGGATAAAGCGCAGATGCGCGGATTCGATTTCTCTTCGGCTGCAAGTGCCAAGAAAACAAGTCACTTCAGCACTTTGAAGACGATGAAGGAGGTGTGTTACTCACGGATCGACATCCCTTCTACTATCTCTAACAGACGTGCTAGTGGTGATTAATATCCTGAACCGTACATCACGCAGAAGATACTCGACCTGAACCTTCCTGCAGACCAGCGGGCAATCCTCATCATTGATTGCTACCCTGTCCACACGAGTGAAGAGTTCCGTGTCTACATCTGGACCGAGTTCCGAACGTCTTCCTCATCTTCATTCCAGCGAACTGCACGGGCATCTTTCAACCGGCTGACATAGGCCTAATCGAGTCATCAAACATCGATTGCGTCAGGCCGCTCTCGAGTTCCTCGTCAACAGCCATTCGCAGCAGATAGATCAGGGACTCACACCTGAACAGGTCAAGATCACTACCTCCATCAAAACACTCCGAAACGCCAGTGTTGCACCGCTAGTCGACGTCTTCGACTTCCTCGACTCTGCAGGCGGAAGGACCGTCATCCGCCGGGCTTGGGAGAAATGCGCTGTCAAGGAGTGGAATCTGTCAGCCGAATGCATCACCAGCCGACGAGCGAAGGCGGCATGGCGCGAATACTTACGAAAGGACGAGACACTCCGGAACGAGATTGAGGGGAAGATTGGTGAGCTAGGGGATTTGATTGCTGAGGAACCAGACGAAGAAGGCGAGACCAGCACCGAGGAGGCGTATGACGACACGGATGTTTCCTTGCGAGCCGTTGTTCAGCAAGCACTTGGGGTTGATGTACCCGAGGCAGATCAGCAGGCGAGCCGTTCTGCACTGGCGCGTTTGCAGCGGAAGTTCGAGCTGTAGACCAGACTTTGCAGAGCAGTGGTGATCAGGAGGATGTTTGGGCTTTTGACGACGCAGGAGAGCTTTGGGGAGAAGCAGGCGCGGTCGCCGCTGTGCAGGATCGATCGTGACACCCCTAATGTAACTAGCTCTTAGCAACCGATGTACCGTGACGCGTGACATTTCTACGTGTAGATAGCGACTCAGAAGGGCTCCGTGACGCGTGACGGTTGGCAGCATACACTCCGCTACAGTATTCCTCTTTCTCTAGTACTCCCACCACGACGCTGCCGTCGTCGACGACGGCGATGGGGGACAGGTGTCCAAGACTCGAGCTCACTATACCGACAGAAAGCACGTCTTTCAAACGTTCATTTGACGAGCTCGGACTCGACTTGGGCAGTCCCAACGGCGAGCGAGGCAACGGCGGCGAGGGCAGCGGCAGCGGTGGCGAGCGCAATAAACGGGCACGCAGCGAGAGCAATGCTCGCTCACCATCGTTGATACCGTCTTCATCGAACACCCTGGCGAGTGGTTCATCTTCATCCAATGCAGCCTCTTCACCGCGCGGAGCAAGCCATGAGGGCAGCGCGTCGTCCGTCGACCTCATGTCGGACGAGCCTGAAACCCTCGCCGAACCTATGGACGGCGTCGAGCCCTTGCCCCCCATTCGTGGCCTCATGCCGCGTACGTCGCCCCCCACGGAGCAGAACGACCACTTCAGGCTGTCCATGGAACGCTTCAATGCTTTTGACAGTAACATCTCCGTCCTGCGACACTCAGACTCGCCCATGCCAGGCCCTAGTCTCCCTCGCTCAGCCCGTACATCGCTAGGTTCATCGATGGAGACGTCGCCCGTTTTGGAGGTACCACCCACGCCGAATCTCAACGTCATATCTCGCTCGAGGCCACCCAGTCCTGTCTCGCCTGGTACCGTGATGTCTCGCCTGAGCTCTGTACCACCTGCTCTACCGCCTGTGCCAACCGTGTCCGGATGGCTCGCCGATTTTAATGGCCAGCTGAGGCCGCTTCCGCATGACCGTGTCGATAATCTGCGGAACCAATGGGACAGCAGACCTGCTCAATCCTCCACTCGCTCACAGCCGTTCAGTGGGTGCTCACTCTACCACGCCTATGGTTCGTCTCTGACCCCCACAGTAGCCGAGCGCCGAAGAGAACATCCTATAGGCCCAGAAGAAGCCCTGCGAAGACTGCGAGAAATACAGCAGTCTCTCGAGGAGTACCTCCAGGGGACATCTACTTCACTTGACGCCCCGTCCGCGAGTGAGCTATCACTGGGCACTGCCATCACCCATTCACTGACATCTCAACAGCGAGCCCCTCGTCTCCGGATCTGACTGGATTGCCGCCACACGCTCACTCACGACATTATCACCGTGATCCAGACCACGGCGACGCCGAGGCAGACCCACTTACGGCAGAGTTGTCGCTCATCCGCGAGGCCGTCCGCCGCCTGCAAGCCAGAGCGCGCCAGATCGAAGCTGTGCAGCGCGCCCGAGGCGACGCTGGTACCGGTGCGCCTAGTGCAGTGCGATCTGCCTGGGTCACTCTGACGGGAAGGCCAGAGAACCATCCGCAGTCTGCCGCCGAGGATAGAGAAGCGCCCTCGTCGAGGCGTTCCTCCACTAACGGTACGTCCTCGTGAGATGCGCGTTCTGCACGGCTCATACTTTCTTAGGGTTAGAGGACCTGCTCCCTGTAGATCGCGACGATGCCTTGTTTCCGCTGTCGCTCGTTGCTTCTAACCGGCGTCGTCGGTCCCTTTATGCCACGCGGCCAGGCGCGTCAAACTCACTCATGTCTGAGAACGCCGCAGAGTTCCGGAGCAGGAGGGCTCGCGAACAAATGGAATCGATCTCGGCCGAAGGACTCAGAGCGAGTGTCGGCAGCCACCTCCGCTTCTCGCCCGTTGACTGGAGCTTGCCAGGAGTCGACGACGACGCTCGATCCAACGTTGCAGATGAGCCTCATTTCACCCCTGCAGATTGGTCGCTTCCGAGTTTCCGCGGGTCGACGCGGGCGGACGATCAGGGCAGACCTGATACGCGCAGATCTCAGCCTCAGAGAGCAAGACCAACGCCCATGGAACCCCATCCGTACAATACTCACCAACCCTCAGCCCGTTCACGGACTGAACTGGAACCACCGCGTCTCGGTTCCGTCTCCCCACCTCTGCCGTCCATGAGCGCAAGCGCGGATCAAGGGACATCTCTCGACCACGAGATCGACTTTACTGGTTATTTCTTTGAACCATTCTCGCCCTCAACGCGCGCGCGACCTGCAGATACATCGGCGAGCAGGGGACCTGATCGTTCAACGTTGGACTTGGTAGCGCGGCCCAGTTCTACTTTCGAGTCTTACCGCGAAGCCTTAGACGTGTGGGTACGCGGAGATGGTCCTGACGAGATGCCTACCCTCCTGTGCTGACGGCTGATGATCGTCAGCCGAGACTAACGGAACCACGAGGAACGTGGGGGTCGTGGGCTCATAGACCCGCCCGCGTACCGGACCCCCGTAGACGTCGTCGTGAGCGAGAGGAAGCAGAACGCTTGAGAGCGTCAGATGGTGATCGAAGGTCGACCGTGGACTCATCGTCGACTGCCAATACAGATGACAGCCTTGAGGCAAACAGTCGACGGAGGCTGTCAAGACTCCTCGTCCTTCGAAGCATGCGCGGGGATTCGACGTCCGACGCCGACAACGTTGCACGACCTCGCCGGCCAGAGCGTTGTCTCCAGAAACCCGCAGAGCGGAGCGTGATTACCGGCTGGACAGACTGCATCGAGATCTCAATGCAAGAGCTGACTTACGAGCATCCATGGTTCCGCCTAGAGTTTTTGACTCTCCGCTTCAGCCAACCTCTCGTGCGGTACACCCAACTGCAAATGCTTCGCGCAGGCCGTCGATCACCAGAGAAACATCAGCAAGGACGGCGCCAACCACGCGCTTCAATCTAGACTCATTCCGCGCGGGCCCCTTCCGCGCGTCGATCCAACGGTCATTGGAATTGCAGCACTCTACAGCTGCTACACACCGTCGAGATCCGCGCTCTCCGAGTCGTGACCTTGAGGCGCCTTCGTTACCGCCTCTACACTTCCAACGCTATCCTGTTCCACGCTTGGTAAGTTGTTATGCGCGTTTGCGCTGATGGAGAGCTGACTATCGCAATAAGCCCCCGTTACAGGGCCTATCTCGTCCTGCTCCCAGCGAGTACGAACTCACTCACCCCTCCAGGTACCACACCCCGAATTCCTTCTCAACAGCGGATATCTTGGATGGGCCTTCCAATCCTCATTGGGACTCATTGCTGCATTGCGCTGTATCGCACGACCAGTCACCCACTGACACCCAGAACCATCCCGAGACCACTACAGAGAACGGACCGGTCTGCCCGGTCCATGGCATTGTCCATGGCAGTGTGGATGACATGATTGATACCCCGGAAGATGATAGAGGAAGGGGGGATGATAGAGGAAGGGAAAGGGGTGACGGGTCAGGATCGCGTGCTGGTCCACGTTGGCGCGTGGCGCGTCCCACATCGTCGTTTGACATGTACGCCGACGTCCCGTCGGCGCTCTCCGCCCCGAACACCCGCCCTCCAATGGCCAGTCTATGGGATGAACCCTCCGTGAGTTGACAACAACTCACCCCATATATCGCATATTGAAGCCTTCGCAGACCTTGTTTCGGGGTGGGCGAAGTGAAGGACTACCAGCTCAGTCTCGCGGTGGAGTAGGCAACTCCCAGTCGTCCACAAGCGCAGCAGACGACCGGGATCCACACGTCCGCAGCCGAATGCCATCGCGCTTACGTGGCACGCGCAGGCGTGAATACGACTTCTTCGGTATGGACTCAGAGTATCCTGACCTGCACCGACGCCTGTCCCAATTCGGCCCCAGAACGAGGCCCTCGGGCGATTATGTGGTCTGTGAATCATCTTCTCCCTTGTATCATAGCTGATGGGCTGTCTCTACATGACGTATCGCAATCAGCAGAGGGATCAGAATCTGGACACCTCATACGAAGCACTCTTGGAACTCACTAGCCTGCTGGGTGAGGGGAGGCCGCGCGGTTTGTCGGAACAGGTTATAGCTTCTCTTCCTGGCGCCACGTACCGGGAATGGGCAACGCCTGGCGAGACGGAAGAGCGTTGCCCCATTTGTCTTGACGATGTATGGTCGAATCCCATTCTGCTTCTACGATGCTAACTGTAATGCTAGTACACCGCTGAAGACGCTGTGTTAAAGGTCCCCGCCTGTTCCCATTGGTTCCACAGAGGTTGCTTGGAGGTATGTGAATATTTAGCTAACATAAATTCTGCTGATGTGAGTGTCGTAGCAATGGCTGAAGACTGCCCGTACATGTCCAGTATGTCGAGGACGCGTTAGCGGCTCGGAAGCATCACGTAGTGGCCCCCGTCTGTCCGGCTTATCTAACGCTCCTGGACCCACTGCAGGTCCGAGTGGAAGTGTTGGCGGCGCCTTTGCTCGCAGAAGACGCATTAATCCTTTACTACCGAGGGGCGCGCCTCCAGAAGACAGACGCGACGAGAATGGACATGATAGTGATAGTGACATGCCACCATATCCTCCGCCTCCGTGGCGGCTAGGCTGACTGCCGAGCCCTGGTTGGCTCGTGGTATCCTTTTTTTCTTGTACTACTTGCACACTCCTATGTACACTGACCGCCTTTCTATTGTTTCTTGGCTCATCGATATGTTGTATGTACTTGGTATATGTCCACTGTAGCACTGCACTGCCCGTTAATTTATCACTTTCCAGTACAGGTTGTAGCCGACCTAGAGCCTAGCTCCTTCGCACGTATTCATAATACAGGTAAGTATGGGTGATCCAGAGTTGCTCAACTTGGCGTCGAGGTCTTCATTGGCCAGGTTGGCCGCGGTACCGCGCGGTTACCAGCACTGACAGTATTGGCATTGCGAAACAATGAGAGCACTACACATACATACGACTGTACAACCAAGTGTCACTCAAATTGTGTGGTCTCGTCTAATGTTCAACTACCTGCCAGACTGATCTGTGGTCATCGCACTGCAGTGCGATTGAGTCATGCTAGTGCAAATGTGGTCCAGGGTCAATTATAGCAACTACAGGTACTCATAGTACCCACCTTCGTAGTAATCTGCAGCCATCAGCCTAGAGACATGAGTAAGGCTGTGGATCTGAGCAACGTGGTTTGGTTGACTCACAAGTCGAGAGCAATCTCAGGCTGCAGGCGTTCCTGGAAGTCGGGGATCTCCTTCGGCGGAGAGTCCTGGTAGAGGGTCTTGTACGACAAGTATTCACACAGCTTCTCGACAATAATGCCACTGTCATATAAATTCTGTCTGATCAACGTCGATGTATCACTATTGAACGGTTCCCTACCGCTCTTCGATCATACAAGTGTTTGTGGCGGCCTCAGCGAAGTTACCTTCCGGTCGGAGTGAGATGTTCAGCAGCGCAGATACTTCCGTAAAACGGCGTACTCACTTTCTTCACTCAACATATTCTTCAATGTACCGCTATTCATAGCGACTTTCCGAGGAATCAGGAAGGTATAACCGTCTGTACTGACTAGCTTAACCCAGTCCTTGTCCGACGCCGATGCCGCAGCGGTGCCTTGGGCCTACAAGAAGATTGTGATCCTTGGCGTCTCGCACAAAATACCATAGTGAAGTGATCTCCTACCGCCATGATGTTGTGAGTAAATCTGGTGAGAATACGGAGAAGACTGAACGGAGCGTTTGAACAAAGGCGTTCTGCGCGCTTCCTAGTGATGAACACCATCAGCGTCTATGCGATACTCGT